ATTTTCCTGCTTTTTTTTGCTCTGTAGCCTTCTTGAGTGCTTTCTGTATAGTCTCCTCTGGATATTTGATGCGTTTAGGCATGTTTGGTGGTACAGATTTGAAGATGATGGTAAAATTGTACTTTTGGCCTGGGTTGTGCTTTTGGTCTGGGAGCACCCACAACCGGAGGTTGTGGGGCGGTCATGGGGCACGGATACCAATGCCTGCATATTACAAATACCGGAATACATACCGCAGTTGTGCAGGGTTTACAGAACGATGATACTCAAGCACAGATATTGTTCAAATAGGTGGGGATGGGTCGAACAATATACTCCACTTAAGGAGCCTTCATGAATCCCAGGTGGCTCCATGAACTGTCCCAATGTATGGCATTGACTTCTCGCAAGTTCGGTGTGGGAGACGATTTCCGTACGTCAACAGAACAGGATAGTATAAAACCACGATTATTCCGGTAGAGGATGTTTCGTCACAAGTAGAACAAATATTCATTGGAACACTGTTCAGACCTGGACGGTTGTCCACCTCTTCGCTTGATCATTCGGATTCGGCATGCAGGATCTATCGCTTGAATCGGCACAGCCCAAGGATGCACATGGGTGAAGTTGGAAGTCGTATTTTCGCTGTCTTCGTCCTTATGAGGTATCGAGCCTCAACAACTGGCCAAAGTAATAGGAATATGCGCCATGCTTCCGTAAGATAATGCCCGTAAACAAAGCCGATCCGACGCTGTTTTTATCCACCGATCACCCCCCCATTCTCCAGTACCATCACCATTTATCTCAGCCGCCTGGCCTCACGTTCGGACTCAAGCAGGCAGAGGATGTCGTTCTCGCGGACTGGTTCGAAGTCAGTATTGGGCACTACGCCGGGGGTATGTGTTCTGCGCACCTGGTCCCTTGACGTTGCGGATGATCGATCGGGTAGTATCGTCCATGAACTCAACGCGGACCTGAGTCACACCACCACGCGAGCCTGCGAATCGTCAATAATTGTTCGATCGGAACGGATTCGTGGGTGCATACCGGTTCGGCCAAGGACGCGGGTCACCTTGACGAGCTTGATGGGAGTCTTGCTGGCTTCCATGTTTGTGACTGTGGAGAGGAAATCAGCAGTTGCAGCGGCCGCATCGGTTCCGAAACGTACTGTAAAGACTGAGCTTGTGCTTGTCTTCGTGGGACTCGATGAGTTGGATGATGCGCTGGATCTGGGCTGGCTGGGTCGGGAGGTGATGTTCGGAGATCTGAAATTTTAGCGAGAGATGAGTTTGTGGGAGAAATCGAGAGGTTGTGGCTGATATGTGGCTCAAATCAAACTTGTGGCGCAACCCCCGCTGTGTGGCTGGTGCATACACGTGCAGGGGAGGCCCCTGTCTTAAATTCCACAATGCCTGAGCGACTTTTCAATCATCGCATTTGACGCATTGAGCCATTGACGAGTCAACATCGAACACAATACCGGATAACGTTTCACGGCTGCAATTGTGCCTCCGAAGGACCCAGATTGTCCTTTGGAGCATTTGGAAACCGAATTAAACTGCTCTATCGCTACACGCAGTGTCCCCTCCTCGCGACTCGTTTGCTGGAAACCTCCGACTTCGCTGTCGTGCTCCTCTTGAGCCCCCTCTCGCCCTTGACTCGACTCTGTTAAGCTGCACGCTGCACTTGAAGAACCCTCCTGTGGTTTATAAAGGGTAAAGTGATGGATCTCGTGAAAGAGTAAGTATTCCGTTCGGAAATTTGACCATCCCGTCTCCAGCCATGGGGTTCCAAATAGCCCCCGAGCAAGACCTACCTCAGTTGCATTCGCTGATGACTCGCAGTCTAGAGGATCGCCTTCTCTTCGCTATCCCCAAGAAGGGGAGGCTCTCACAGCCTTGCCTTGACCTCCTTCGTGGCTCAGACATTAAATTCAATAAGCCTCAGAGACTAGACATTACTCTTGTCAGGAACCTCCCGATCGCGCTCGTCTTCTTGCCCGCTGGAGACATACCACGACTAGTCCAAAGAGGGCGGATAGACTTGGGCATAACAGGACGAGATCAAATTGCTGAGTATCAGCTACGAGATCCGCCTCGGGATGATGGGAAGGGGATAGACGAGGTCTTGGCATTGCCGTTCGGAGGCTGCAAGCTTCAAGTTCAGGTACCGAAAGACGGAGATATCACCGAGCCCAAGCAACTGGTTGGGAAGACGGTGTGCACGAGCTTCCACCACCTGACAAGTTCGTACTTCGCGAAATTCGAGGCAGACGCCACTGGAGCAGCCGCCAATGGAGATGCGAATGGGGAGTTGAAAACGGAAATTGAGTGGGCTGGTGGTAGTGTCGAGTCGTCGATTGCGCTCGGAGATGCGGTGGGCATTGTGGATCTAGTTGGTAAGTCGGTTTTTGAGATGCCCCGTCTACGGATACTAACAAGGCGGCAGAGTCTGGCGACACAATGAGAGCGCATGGTTTGAAAGCCATTTCCACCGTCCTCGAAAGCACCGCAGTGCTCATCAAATCAAAACGCGCCAGAAACCCCGAGCTCGTGAACCTTATTGCTTCCAGAATACGCGGTGTAATAAGTAAGTCGCTCTCTTACTTCAAAACCGGTCTCTTGTACTGACCCGTTTCAGCCGCCCAAGCATATGTGCTCTGCACGTACAATATCAAGCGAGAGTTGCTTCCGATCGCCTCCAAGGTCACGCCTGGAAAGAGAGCCCCAACCATCAATTCATTGGAGGAGGAAGGATGGGTGGCGGTCAGCTCCATGGTGGAAAGGAAGAAGATCGCCGAAGTGATGGACGAGCTGGAAAGGATTGGTGCGGAAGACATTCTGGTGCGGACTATTGAGAATGCAAGGTCAAGTTAAAGCGCAACAAACAGTTGCACCGAAAGTTCTTGGACGTAGAGAGACAATGTCTGACATGTTATGATAATTAAATGCGAAATTCGCCATAAGATTCATTACATTGATACCGGATTCTTTGCGTCATTTCCCAGGCTTGCAGATGAGCATCGGATCCAAATTTGCCGATAGCAGCCACAGAGCGAGTACTTCACGAATATATTTTATTTAATTAACGATAGTGTCGTAGTGTACAAAAGATTAGCCATTCGAATCAGAATAAAAGTCCATAAATGCAATATCCATAAACGGGTTTTGAGTCATGATATTATATTTTGCAACACTCAAAACTTTCAGTTTGGCTGCGGTGGCCGAGTGGTTAAGGCGGCAGATTTAAGTTATTGCCCTTTTGGGCGATGGCATTGAAATAAAACCTGCTGGAGCAGTCCACGCGAGTTCGAACCTCGTCCGCAGCATCATCTTTTTGCATTTTTTGCATTTTTTTAAATGTTTAATAAATCTTATTTTACGAGGAAATGATTATTTTAGTGGTTTCGAGCAGTATGCGTAATAGTTGGCGGCGATGGTCGGTGGCAGGCAATTCCCTTGGGTTCATCAGCCCAACAACCGAATGGTTTTCTAGGGAAGTCAGGCGAAAGGCTTCCACTGAACTCGACTTGTTACTTTAAGATAAAGACCAGACTTCGGTTTGCTTTGTTATTATCGAATAACTAATTCGGCCAATTTAGATCATAGGAAGTTCTCCCCAACGCCTCAGCTGGAGCGCCTTGTCCCTAGACTCCCAATGGTGGAAGGTCTCCGTCCCAGTTGACTTGCATCGCTAAACATCATTAGCGAAGTTACACTGCATCAGGCTGACAGCGACTTACTCATTGGGAAAGGGAAGTAGCTATCTCCCTGTTCACGCATATACATATCGCATCCTCCTTCCCTAGAAGTAGTTAATACCATCCACTGGGTAATGCAATGTGTCGGGCACCACTTACTTCGAAATCTTCCTCAATTGCCCTCTCGGACCAGGAGCTCTTCTCAAATTCTCCAACCGGCCAACTGTCTTCAACATAGCCGTCAACGCGACACAGCTAGCGTCCTTGCCCAAGCACTTATGCCGCCCTGCGCCATAGTGGATGTAGCTGTCCAAAGGCCGATCAATCCTGACCTCATCCGGGTCTGGGAACACGCTTGCGTCCTTCGCCGCGTTGATAAATGATACGAACACTTTGTCGCCAGGCTTGATGTTCACGGATTTCCCGCCATCATCAATGGATACGGCGCTGTGCGCTTCGCGATACACGCCGATGGTGCCATTCAGTCGAATGCCTTCCATGCAATAACCCAGAAGCTTCTCCTCCGCCTCCGGAGTGTCCGATTTCGCCAGACGATGGATCTCGGACAGGTGTTCCTTATTCACGTCCAACAGATAAAAATCCAGGATCTGCGTAAACACCTGGGCCTGGTTCGGCACCATCGCACACGTGGTCGGCAGAATTTGCCTCCATGCGATATCCTCAACACTGAGTCCCGAGTCCAAGAGCCGACGAACCATGCGCGCGCCATAATCTTGCAAGGCATTGTCGTTCTCCCGCCAGGAGTCGACGAGTCTGGAGACGATGCCGGTCCGGTTGACGGACCGCACGGTCGTTTCCACCAGCGTTCCGAGTTTCTCGCTGAGGGCTTGCGCCGCCATGTGGAGTGGGAACGACTTCGCGGGTTCAATGTCGAAGCAAATGCAAGCAAAGATCACGGCGATAGCCATATACAACTCGCGTTCCGTGAACGCGCCATCGGGGTTTTCTTCGGTCCGTAGGGGGAGGCCGAAAAGGTTGGCTGCGAAGTGGATAGGTGCAAGGTTACCGACGCTTTGAAAATTAGTAGAGCACTGAATTGTCGAAGAGGGAACTCACTCTCTGGTGATATCAACGTGATTAATGCCGGCGAGCTTATACGACTTCTTGTGGAGCAGCTTCAGTGTGATGTGCTCGTAGAAGGCTTTGACATCCTGCTGCCAGTTGTCTTTGTAAAGCCATTTTTGCAATACTTGCCTCTGCTTCGAATGGGGATCTGTGCTGCCGGAGCTGTTCGCCAAGGTCAGAAACGCAAGAAACTCCTCATTTCGTATGATGCTTACGGTACGGGACACGCTTCTTTTCCCATTAGCTCTTCCAACGTACCACCCAAGGTGCGGAATGACTTGTGGTCTTCAAGGACCGTCTTTGCTGCGAGGTAACTACTCAAATTTATCCGCGGTGGAAGTAGCTTTGGACGATCATAGGAGTAATGGGCTTCGCGGCCGAGGTTTCTCATGATCTTCTGGTTCTCGCTTGGGATTGTCATTGGATAATGTGCGTAGATGGAGTCCGGCTTGAAGTGATGTGGGAAGGCTCGTAAAAAGAGCTTATAGAAGACGCAACCTTGCTCAATGTTGAGATCGTATTGGGCTTCGTTGTACCCCCAACTGCAGTTCATTAGCATTTTATTTCAATCGAGGATGGAATCTCACTTTGTAAGGTTCTTCGGATGGTAGTCGATAGTATAGTACCGATCTGATCGGACCAGAGTAACCGCATCCGAAAGGATCGCTCTAGAGATAGTGAAGGTCGGCGCAATACCGACACCAGGCACCATTGGAACCTTTGCTTCTTCGGCTACGAGGCCTGGGTACATCTCAACAAAGTCAGGATGTCCATACAGCCGGCGCAAGTGCTCCGCGACCTGTGGGTCAGAGTTGATGCTCTCGAACGAGTCGTGTGGCATCAGCTTGAAAAACGCCCGGAATTCGTTCAATGTTGCCAGTCCCCATTTGCGGGCTTGGGTCATACCAAGGATTTCTATCGCCTTGAGTGCTTTGGGGACGTTGTTTGCACCGAAGGCACCTAGACGTAGTTATAATTCTAGTTCCAGTGTGCGAGTTAGCGGAACGTACCTGCAGTATCTTCAATAGCATCGGACATAATGGTGACCAAATCATCGTCCTTGTACTTGCCATCAGGTCCCCTCTGGAGGCTTGCGAATGGTCTCTCTTGTGGATCCTTATCAAGCGATTCTCCCAGCTTGTGCATTCCAGCAAGGGCCTCAGGAAGAGACACATCTGCAGCTGGCTTGCCAAACATATCCTGATACACCTTTTCTGCCCATGCTTCATCTTTCAGGCTTATGGCGGAGTGCCAGCGATATACAAGGTTGAACTCTGCGCTAACCTGGTTACCGACACCACGGGGAGATCCATCTTTTCCGAACACCTTCTCTTCCATGTCAACCCGAGGGTCAAGTGTCCAAGTCGAGTTTGTGCGGTTCAAGTTGACGATGGTGCGAAGATAGTCAAGGAGTGTGATGTTCATGTATAAACCACATGTGATGAGGCGTCCGGTTTCGAACAAGTCTTGATCTCGCTTCAATGTTGCTTTGGAGTGCGCGTCCTTGGACAAACCCGCCTGTGGCTGCGAAAACTTGCCATTTTCATTGATGGCTGCCAATTGCTCGACAACATAGTTGTGGAAACGGTTGAACATGATCAGGAGAACACCACACCCAGGAGGGAAAAGCAAGAGGCGGCTTTCGGAGAAACAGTCAGGCTTCAGTTTCCCATCCGTGAAGGTCCTCATCAGTTTCTGGTCCTCCCAATTGTCGCCATACAACGGCGACAGATCCAGGTAAGATGACGTCTGAGACATGTTGAAATCTCGATGATCAGTCTGGAATAGATCATGAATGATCAGTGATGCCCAGTAAAATAAGATGCTGGACACTTTGTTGGGATGCTCTCTGAAGTTCTGACGAGCAAAGAGACAGTCGAACACCAATCCTGGATCGGGCATCGAATCAGGAGTCACTGTCTTGGGCATGACACTTCGAGCGTATGCAGTGTTCGCTGCCCCTAGTTGAGGATTCATGACGTTATTGCTCGACCCATCCGGCTGGCGGTAGGCGAACATATCTCCAATATACGACATTGGGGGATGCTGGAGCGAATCCCAGAGTCCGTCGATGAACGCGTTGGTCAAATCAACTCTTGTTTTCGATTGAGCGGGGAGGTCAGCGACCAGCTGGATGACGCGTTCCATCAGGTAGGTCTTATCATCCATAACATCGCCAGCCATTTTGCTTCCCACGAGATCCTTCAGAGTCTTTACATCGTTGATGCCAATGGTCTGCATGTCCTGCCAGATGCTGCTGCTTGAAGCTCCAGATTCTCCCTCAATGCTTGCGGCATTGCCCACGGCCGGGGGAATAGGGCGCTGAGAGGCATGAATCAATTGTGCGAACTTCGCAAATATGATTGATACCTCTTTTCGGTCAGCACTCCGATCCGAAGAACGGTTGGCCTCTGACTTTGATCCACTCGTGAAACCAAATATGCTTCTGATTTGCCCATTGGCCATTTCGGAATATGACTGTGTGTTCGCCCGGTTGCGAGGGGGCTCCTTGTTCTTATCCTTCCTGAACTTCATGGATAAATGGCGCAGCATGATTGCTGGCAATATGAGAGACGTAGCAATGAAACAATACGAAATTGACAGGTCTCTCATATTCTCTGGTGCTTGGATCAGGAGTTCAGTTATATGTAGCCCCAAAATTGACCCTGTGGAGAAACCGACTCGCCTTGGTGAAGATCCAGACCGGCCAAGAAGCTCGGTACTCTACCAGAGAATTGAAATCAGCTCAGTTGTCTGGAGAGTTTATTCAGCTATCGGGCCAACACATAAAGTCTCCGAGGTAGACAAGAGTGCATCGAAGGGTTGCTGTAACATCTCCGTCAGTTGAAAAAGCAAATGTCTGATCTGACCTCTGATATCTCGGGCAGGGCTCATGATATCTCCACAGATCGACAGTCCCCATGATTTGTATTTTGTGCATATGGGTTGCACTTCCACTCTATTCAATTGATAATTGGTACGGAAGAGTCAATCAGGCTGTCGTGTCTAAGTCTTGGGGTGCACACAGTTCTTGGACACAAACCATAGGTTGCTGGAGGAATTAAAGAAAAACTGTTATGGTTAAAATGATCTACGATATAACATCCATGTTCGTCGTAGGTAGATAATCTCTGTGATCAGTAGAGCAGCTGCTTTCACCAGGTGAAATATTTCGAGCACGGTTCGGAACGTGCGGCTGAACCGATCCACTAAGTTGGCAATTAGGGTCCGGGTTTGGTCAAAGCTGAAATACCGAGTGAGGGAATGACCGTTGAGCGGCCATCATCTGTAATGGTTTCACTCAACATGTAACCTTTGTTTCGCTGGGTACCGCACCGTTTGGGAGCAGAATATGGCCATTAAATGGAAACACATATATTTTGTCCACGACAATTCGTGAAACGCTTGTAAATGCATAGAGTTCGATATAGGGCATCTAAGAGTTGAGCATAGGGTTAAGTGGTACCTTGAACTGAGATGAACTGAGGTTCACATTAGTCGTGGATCCCTGGTACGTGTGGAAGAGGCTGGGAAGATTCCAAGTCGGGAGAAGCCGATGACCTAGCGCGCAGCAGAAGCAAGGGACGAACCTGGTGTTGTCGTAGGTAATGGGAAAGCCGCGTCCTCGATTCCAGGTCCGGACGCTATCTGCTGCTGATGATCGGCGAGAATGTAACACAGATACCAGTGCGAACTCTCCATCGGGTTCGTAGGGTATGACAAGTCCGGAGCAACACAGGGATGTGTCATGTCGTTCAGCGAATGGCAGTGGCAGAATATCGACGACTTAATATTAATGCAGGTCGATCATTGTATAAAAGAGGATGTTGTGCCCATAGTGTCCGGATTGCCAACATTATGAGATGTTGTGAAAACAAAGACCAGAAGCCTTCCTTGAAAGACCGATACCAAGGACCGAGGAAGCGTGTTCCCTACCTAATTCTGCTGTCAATAAGAGGCGATGACGGAATCCATCGTCCCTCCCGAATGCTTGGGCCTTGGGACAGAGGCCTCTAGTGGTGGGCACTCCATCTTAGCCATGATGTTTTGTCGGCTTCGAAATGACGTGATAAAGTGTCCGAAGCGGAGTGGGCGGTAGAAAAGTCCGCCAGTGTGATACGATCTAGTCCAACGACTCGTCGATCACCCCACACCTATTTAGCCATAGTCTACGAACTGTGAAGCCCGAAGGCTACTTTGCAGGACCTCTTGGAGCTCGCTGATGATGGGAATTTAACTGCGATGCCTATGACCTAAGCCGCATTGCGAAGGAAGATAACAAGTCCTCGATTGCACGTGCGCTTTTAAATCAATTGGGTGAGCGTTCAACGTTTGAAATGGACCACCCTGAGCATTTCCAGCGACCGACGGAAACCAGGGGGAAGCGGAAGTTTATACTTTGCTTTGATGGAACAGGAAATAAGTTTTCAGGTACGTCTTCGGACTCAAGTATTCTGAAAATATATCGTATGCTTGATAGAGAGGACGAGACTCAACTCCATTACTATCAGCCGGGAATTGGAACGTATGTTACTTCAGCAACTTTGTCACCCCCCTCCACGTACCAGAGTTTCAAGGCGTGGTATACCAAGCAAAAGGACTCTGCCGTTGGAACGAGTCTTTCCGATCATGTTATGGGGGGGTACAAGGTGAGAACGGAGGAAAAGACAGGCATTGAGAAAAGTGTTGACAAATGAATAGTTCCTGATGAGGTATTATCTGCCAGGAGACAAGATATATTTCTTCGGTTTCTCTCGAGGTGCATATACCGCCCGCTTTCTGGCGGAAATGCTTGACTACGTCGGCCTTATCACCACTGGGAATGAAGAGATGGCAGGATTTGCCTGGAAGACTTTTGAGAAATGGCAAATGCGCGAAGAGCGAACTGAAGAAGAGAAGAAAAAGAAAAGAGAGCTTCGCGAGTTCATGACTGCATTCCGCGAGACCTTTAGTCGACCTGTGGAACCCCTGGAGTTCCTTGGTCTCTTTGACACAGTCAACAGCGTGCCGCGATTTGAGAACGCATTCATGCAGCGGTCCAAGTTTCCATATACGGCTCGTAGTTCGGCGAAAGTGATTCGGCACGCTGTTTCAATCGATGAGAGACGGGCTAAGTTTCGTCCGGATCTTCTTTATCAACCGCCCGGAAAAGCAAGGCGGCATCACTTCTGGCACCACGACCGGCAGTTCGGTCATTTGTCTGCAGCAATCGAGGGGCGCCGCAAGGAAAGGAACGGTGGAGAAGACTCGAAACTACAGCCGCAGGATAAATTTAGGCCAAAAAGGCGACCGAATCCGCCCCGGTTCAGCCCTCGCTCCAGCAGCATGCAGGTACAGGAGAGGTTCCGCGATCCGTCCGAGGCCTCAGGGCTCGACTCCGCTAGCCGACGCTCGCAAGGCACCAGCTCAGCGTCCGCAACAGATGCAGTACATACTGCAGCCGGGGAACAGGACATCAAGGAAGTCTGGTTCGTAGGATGCCATGGAGTAAGTGATTCGGGACTTGTTGCGGCACGGGTACTAACCGTTGTAGGACCTTGGCGGAGGGTGGGCGATGGATCTCGACAAACCTGCACCTCTTAGTCATATTCCTCTAGTGTGGATGATAAATGAGGCAGAGCGGGCAGGTCTTAACTTTGACGACACCAAGCTACGCAAACTCAACTGCGCACCTGATGTTGAGAGGCGTGAAGGACAACAGCAAAGCGGTGGGTCATCGGCTGCCATTGATGCTGCTGCTCCACCGGGGGTGTATGGGCTCGACTCGATCGTCCAATCTCACATCTATGACGACGAGAGGAGAGTTGAAGGTTCCGGCGAAGTTGATGGTTCTCAGTTCCACAGAATCCTGCATGAGCTCTCCATCGGGGGTCGCACCCATGATGCGTTACGCCGGAATAATGGCGCCTCCCTTATGTCGGTGCTCGGCTGGAACATCATGGAGTGGTTGCCGTTCCGAAGGATGGACCTGAAAGAAGATGAATCCTGGACCAGCATCTCATGGCCTTTGCCAAGGGGAGAAGTCCGAGACTTCCCGGATAATGCAGTTCTTCATAATAGCGTGGTTAAAAGAATGATGGCGGACGAGGCATACAGGCCTGGTAATGTAATTTGCGGGGGGGGCGGCAGAGGGATGAGAAGAGCGCCAGAGAAATATGGCTATGGGAAGTGGAAAGTCCTTGAGAATGAGGGAGATCCCGTGTTGGAGTTGTACATCAGAGACGGACCTCGTCCTGCTTTGGAGGTTTAAGCGCGGGCAGCATCGAATGAGTGAGATATGAGGGCTTCATTGATCGCGTCTGGTGTCAATAGTAGTCGTGTTCTAATTCAAGGATAATAGGTATTGTTGGAGTGGCTGCAACCATGGACGAGAGGAAGATATAATCCTTGGTGTACTGTAGTTGCTAACACGTGATACCGCGCCATTTACGCGTTGTTGGCCCCTATGGTCCAACAAAGTTCGGGCATGGAATCAACGCGGGCCTTGATCCAATCCTGCCGAATTCCGCCCCATCCCTCTTTCAAAAGCTGTTGCGTCTCATCAGGCTCCCAATGGGTAAATTTACGTACGTGTTGCTTCATTGGTTGGAAAGCGTCCTCAATGATCGCGAGGTCTGGAGATCCTGCGCAATTGAAATAGTGTTCAAGACGGTGATCAGAATGGGACTTCCATTCCTTTACGATATTTCCCCTAGCGCGTGGCGGCCCATGGCCTGAGTCTTGGTCCTCCCAATACAAAATCGTGACCGTTCTGGATCCAAGGTTTGGTAATGGGATCTAGGATGGAATCGATATATGTTTGTTGTGTCATCTTACCCGTGGTATTGCTCGGTACATTATACGTTACAAGGTCTGATTTGAAGTTGTAGCCAACAGCCCCCCAGACGTGTACGTTATTTTTGGCGTTATCTTCAACTTTCCTTGTCGTTGTACACATTGAGAGCAATACCGCTCGCCCGGGCGTCGAATAATCATCAACTTTCCTTGCGGACCAAGCCCGGCGTGGGACTCGTCGCTGAAACGGACCCTCCTCCACAGGTATTTGGTAGGATATCGGTCCTTCATTAAGTTAGCGAAATCGAGGCGCTTTTCGGCGAGGTTCCTAGAAACCCATGCTTCTTGACAGGCGACGCATTTATGGTAATCCATCGTACCTATAGCCCGCTTAACGGTACGCCCGCAGACGTCTAGACCAGCCTCATACCCTAGGGCCTCCCAGGACATGGCCCTTCCATAGACATCTTGTTCTTCAAGGATCCTCTCCATCTCGTGGATATCTTTAGAGGAGATAAGCGGTTTACGTCCTCTTGGTTCCTGATCAGGGGGGAAATGGCGACGATCTCCATTTCGGTTCCTCTTACTGATGAACTCCATACCAGTCCTCCACGGGACTCCTTCGAAGCGAAAGACCTCGGTTTTGGTACGAACTGGGTCGTATCCATAACGTCTGTTTTGAGCCTCAATGAACTCGACGGCACCGCGAATTCGGGACTTTTTGGGTGAGTCCCAATGAGGATGATTCATCTGCATAGTATTAGGGTATTTCAGAGCTTTTGATGCGTCAAAGCCATATTTAATTGATATATATTGATGAATTGTCAAAATCATATTTTATCTACAGTCAACCTTCGCTATAACGATTGAATCCGCACAGGCGAATCCAATCGTTATAACGCGGATATCGCTAAAATGAATTTTCTTGGCAGCATTGATTGAGAATCCGTGCAGGGAATCTTATCGCTATAATGCGAATATCGCTGTAGCGGTAATCGTTATAGCGGTGCACGGCGGTGGTTGACTGTATTGGGTATTTGTGTGGCTGCGGATGAACTTCGGCAATGGTGGCCTGACTGGGATGCAAATTCCAGTCAATCGCGTGCCAGCGCGTTTCAACATTCAGCTAGTCGCAAGTTCGCAACCCGCATTGTCTCCAGAAAGATAATCAGTGCTTATCGCATCAATAATAACTCTCGCATTTCGCTCAGCGCATCGTTGTTAGTCACATCGTTGATAGGCGCATCTCCGGCGCGTTGTTCTTCCAAGGAAGCTGTGATAATGCCTCCACGTGCATCGGCACCATCGAAGCGGTCGGCACCATCGAAGCGGTCGGCTCAGGTTATTGACCTGACTGGCGATGATGTGGAAAATGGCCACACTGCGAGACCAAAGAAAACGGCCAGAACAGCGAGTTCAGGATATGCATCAGGACTGCCTACCCCCCAAAGTACAGCTCCATCTTCATCTCAGTCTTCAGCTCACGGAGGTCAACGCCGAGCTGCAGTCGGAAGCTCATCGTTCGCTGCACCGACAAGCCAGTATGGCGTGTCTGATGATGATGAGGCCGATGAGCTCGTCGACTTGGTGCCCTTTGATCCAACCCAGGACTATTCTACTGCATCATTCATCCTCTATGGATCGCTTCAAACGAAGATCGTCGGGTGTCGATACTATACTGGAGTGACGACTCTAGGCGAGATGACCCTTCTCCGACGAGAGCCGGGGAACCAGTATGACCGAAACGCCATCGCGGCCCGGAATATGGAGGGCGAACAGATTGGACACATCCCTCGAGACATGGCGGCAGCGATCGCCAAGTACATGGACGATCGATCCCTCCAGGTAGAAGCGCAAATTAAAGGGAGGAAAGGTTACTACGAGTGCCCTATTCTGCTGGAGTTTTATGGGCCAAACGACCCTGAGAAGAGCGCGGCGATTACTGCGCGGATGAGACGTGATGGGCTTCCGGTTGGGAACTTCGAAGAGTTCCACAGGACCAAGAAGGCACTCGAAAAAGCGGCTGCGAAGCAGGCTACTGACCGGGCACGCGTGGCTGCGATGAATGGAGACTCGAGTCTACCTGTCGGTGGTTCTTTCCAAGTCCCAACTGCTGCTCCCACTCTGGCCTCAATTATGGAAGAAAGTGAGAAATACAGTGCAAGAGGCATTGATGAAGTTGTGAAGACATTTGGAGTCGGCACCGATGATCTTGAGAATATGCCCATGGCGGAGCAGCCAGCTGAAATCGCCACAAAAATGCTGCCATACCAGCTACAGGTAAGCCAGGCGACTGATTAGAACCGGACTGCAAACGGACACTAATATTCTCCAGGGTCTCCAATGGCTGCTCGACAAGGAAAGTCCGAAACTACCGCCAAATACAGACGACGTGGTTCAACTCTGGAGGAAGCATCCAACTCAACCGGGCATGTTTTTAAACATTGCCACGACATTCGCAGTGAAAACCCCCGGCCTCATGAGTGGTGGCATTCTGGCTGATGACATGGGACTTGGGAAAACTTTGCAAATCATTTCTCTGATCATGTCAGACCCGCAGCGGATAAACTCCCCATCCAAGTCCGCCGGGCCGACACTCATATTGTCGCCTCTGAGCGTAATGAGCAACTGGACCGGACAGATCAAACACCATGTAAAGGAAGATTCCGCTCTGCGTGTGCTGACTTATCACGGAACGAACAGAAAGGTTCTTCTGAACTCTAAGACGATTGAGGACTATGATGTCGTCATCACGACTTACGAGACTGTCATGTCGGAATATTGGTCCTCACAGGAGAATGTACCGCGTGTGAAAGGACTTTACGCTATCAATTGGAGGCGTATCGTTCTTGATGAAGGGCATAACATCCGCAACCCTCAAGCGAAGCGTGCTGTGGCAGCTTGTGCGCTTATTGCGCAGTCGCGATGGGTCTGCACCGGCACGCCAGTGATCAACAGCTTGAAAGATTTGTATTCCATCATCAAGTTCTTACGCTTGTCAGGCGGCCTCGACCAGTTCGAAGCCTTCAATGGTAGGATCATACGTCCAGTCAATGCCGGTGATGGGGTCGGATATCGTCTACTCCAATCATTGATGCGGAGCATCTGTTTGCGCCGCAACAAAGAGATGAAATTTGTCGATCTGCGAATTCCTGAGCTCACGGAATACGTTCACAAGATCCAGCTCTCCGATCACGAGAAAACCAAATATGATGGCCTAGCGTATGTAGTCAATTTCATGTTTCTGACCATGTACTGACCGATCACAGCTCTGAGGCCAGTGGGGCATGGAAGGAATTCGAGAACACATCTGGACAAGAGGCTGCAAACGCATACCGCCATGTCCTCGAGGTTCTCCTCCGCCTTCGACAGGTCTGCAACCACTGGAGGCTTTGCGGCGACAGGAGAATCAAGGACATCCTTGACAAGATTGAGAAAGACAAGACGGTCGAACTGACATCGGAAAACTGTGGTGCGCTGCGCAAAATGCTACAGTTGAGCATCGAGTCCCAAGAGGACTGCCCTATTTGCCTCGACACGCTTAAAGAGCCCATCATCACAGCCTGCTCTCACATTTACTGCTACGCTTGCATCGAGCGCGTCATCGACACGCAGCACAAATGCCCACTCTGTCGTGCTGATATTCAGTCTCCCCAACACGTTGTTCGCGCGGCCAAAGACGAGTCGCTCGATTCGACGCCCACTACTTTTGATGAGGATGAGTCGAGCAGTAAGATTGAAGCACTTCTCTCCATTCTCGAAGCCACACGGGTACGGCCAGGCGAGCCAACTAAGACCGTGGTGTTTAGTCAATGGACCTCATTCCTCAACCTTCTGGAGCCACACCTTCAGAAACGAAATATCAAATTCTGCCGCATCGATGGCACCATGTCTTCGACGCTTCGCGACAACGCGCTGGAGCGGCTCGCATCCGATCCAGAGTGCACGATTATGCTCGCGTCGCTAGCCGTCTGCTCGGTTGGGCTGAACCTCGTGGCAGCCTCTCAAGTCATCTTGGCGGATTCTTGGTGGGCGCCAGCGATCGAAGACCAAGCGGTTGATCGTGTGCACCGGCTGGGCCAGAAGCGGGAGACCACCGTCTGGAGGTTGGTGACAGAAGGGACGGTTGAAGAGAAGGTGTTACAGATCCAAGCAAATAAACGGGAGTTGATGAGATTGGCGGTGGCCGAAAAGGAGGGGAAGAAGAAGAAAGGAGGCAGGACGGCACGGTTGCAGGATATTCAGATGCTGTTGGGGACACAGCAGGCGTAGTTTCTTGTCCTCTTTCGGCTTGGGGGCGTATGGCGTGGGGTTCCGTTTTTCGGTACAAGGAGTGGAAAGAATAGTATCTTAGACGGTTCCAGTTGTATGATCTGCAGAATCTGGACTGCCGTCTCCATTTCCCGGTCGATCACCCCTCATGGGACTCGTGGCCATCGAGCGTGGTCTCGAAGGGGTGCAAACGGATAAGTGACATTCAAATTGTTTCCCAGCAATGTATCTGAGTACTAGCATTTTGAGTCTTTCAGGATAAAGATCTTGTGAACTCTAATATCTAATTGGGAAATTCCTTGGGATCGCTCGCAACCCGGTCTTCCCATTTTTGTATGAAGGTTCAGATGCTCTCAGAGTTGTCCGGCTCCCTTCTATCGTATATCATGCGGTCTATGACGCGAATCTAAAGTCTAGCCGTTTATTGCCTTTATCCGTCGTAGTCGCCAGATAGTTCTCCTTCTCCTCGCCACTCATGGCATCCCACTTCTTTGTACGGATCTTGTTGGTGTAGACATAAAAGAACTTGGTCCCACCGATCAGAAAGATGTTATAAACGGCAATTCCAATGAGAACACGGTTTCCCGTCCGATACAGGGGCTTGTCCTCTTCGCGGTAGACCTAAAAGTGTGGTTAGTGAACATTCTCATTCAGAAAGGAACGGAGTTGGCGTCCTCACGTTAGTAGCAATGATCGAGCTCGCTTGGATGCACATATTGTAGAAAGCTGTTGCGAACGTTCTGGTACGCACTGTTCCTGCATTCCGAGAAGTGACTGCAACGATGATCGCGTGTGCATATGGATGTCCGACAAGGAGGGTACTCAAAACCCACCTCACCCACGGGCCTGAGGTTGACGGAATCACTGCCAGGGCAATCAGAATCGGCAGGGACCAAACTTGGCTGATTAGCGAGATTATGAAACGCTGGTTGATCTTTTCGGAGAGCCATGTCCAGAAGAGCGCTTGCGCGATAAATAATGCGGATGCAGGTATCGTCAACAAATTGGTCTTGAAGGTATCAAAACCGACGGAACGAAGCTGCAACGTTAGGTAAGCCGTCATTGGATGATTCGGGATGAGCCAACTCAAGCCCATGAGATAGATAGGCCACATATGATAGTCTGTCAGGCAAAGCCAGATTTCTTGGGGGTTCAGCCCCTCACGATTGTGCATATCGCCTTTTGAAGGATCGTCGCGGAGAACCCGGTTGACCATGATCTTCTCTTGATGTTCAGTGAACCAGCCGTCTTTGCCTCTAAACCGAGATTTGGTCTGTGTTGGTGACGGCGGAAGATAAAATGCGGATATAATGCCGATCAGCCCGGTCAAGGTTCCTTCTAAGGCAAATAACCATCGCCATCCTTCCATTCCATTGACGCCACGTAACCGCAGAATACCATAGGCAAGAAACGCGGAAATGACGCTGGTGCTCTGATATGCGGTCCAGAAATAGCTGAGGCGAATAGGTAATTCGCTGCTAGTGTAGAAGTACGACATGTAAAGGATAGCGTCCGGGATGAAGCCGCCTTCAATCAATCCAAGGAGGGAACGGCAGGCGTAAAAAGATGATTTGCCGCTGAGGAATGCCTGGAGGCTGGCAACCAGACTCCATGAGACCATTTGAATGGGGATCCAACGATCGGGCCCCAGTCTCTTTGAAATGAGCTGAGATGGCACTTCAGCGACCAAGAAACTGCAGTAGAAAATGGTCATTCCAGTGTTGTACTCGTTGGTAGTGAGGTTAAGATCGTCGAGCATGTTGTCTGAGAGCGCTTGGCTGATGTTCCCTCGATCAAGTTGTCTTTCCATAGCGTCAGTACGTGGGTATCAGTTGATTGTAAAGGGACTGACAATGCGAAGAACATTAAACACATCCAAGTGCATATCTTGAAGTCAATCTGTGATGGTGTTAGCTGAGTGCAATCGAATCTGGAAGGGTTATAATTTACCCTCCGAACGACTTTCTTCTCATCCTCTTCCGGCCATGTGTAATCGGGATCATAGCGATGAAACCCTTCGTAGGTCTCAACGGGCTTATAGAAATCTTGAAGGTCGGAGTCATTATCGAACGTAGTGGCTCCTTTGGTCCAGAGAGCTCCTTCAAGGACACCCGCGCTCTTTGAGACTGATTCGGAGCTGATTCGTCGGCCACCAACATCTTTTGAAATTGAGTATCTTTTGTCGTCCGCCATGGTGATCGTCTCTGCTAGGGAATTGGATAGAGAGCATCAATAGTTGAACCATTCAGGGGGATCCGAGACTTATAGTCATCGCTGAGTGGCACCTATCTCCACCCTAACATAGCACCCCCATGGGTGCGGTGGGTGCTTCACCCGAACATGTCGTTGAGGATATGACAGAGAAACCGTGGACCGACCTAGGTCGCCACTAAGTTCTCCTCCCGTCCCGGAGCTCACATTATGTTCACACTATCAGACGAAGAAAACAAGTTGCTAGCGGGTGCGGGTTAGGAGGCGTATAAGAGCTAACCAATGGTAAGGGATCGAATACAGCACGCAACTGGTGGGGTCTATCGCGAAATATGCAGGAATGCAGAAAGTAAGATAAGATGCAACCTATGACAAGGTGTAGGCGTGTAGCCGTAGAGCCTAGAGGGAGTTGTCGAAGCATTGTGGTGGGATCCAGATTCCAGATTCAGTACGTTCTGAGATGGATGTGATGTCTTGGCAAATCGCGTGCTCCAGGGGGAGCGCTGACAACATATAGAGCGGAACATTCATGTCAGTGAATCCCACGCCGCTATCAACCCCTGCAACACTACTCCATACTTGAAATGCTAAAAATGACATTGAAGATATTATTAGGGAAAATGCGGAGAGATAGTAGTAGCAAAGGGTTTAGCCCTGGGATATCGCCATATCGGTATATGACTGAGGAAAGGATCGGTGTACTGACTCACTCAAGCATGTGCAACTCCGGTACGTATCAATCTTGACCTATGCCTAAACGCCATACACATCAAGCTTTCGAGCGGCTCTTGTGTGCCCTGAACCGTAGTTATGGTATCTTCTCGATGGACACGTGGAAGCCACGTCCCAGAGTGCATCGCCGAGTCGTGAAGTCTTGGTCATTTCCAGGTCCTCGCCGTCCTGAATTGAACCGAGCCAGTTGCCGCCCGCAAAAGAAAAGCTTAAACGAAAACGAACTGGTAGAATATCGCAACCCCATACATGCATGGTCTGCTGTGCAAGGGCGTTCCTCAGACGTAACAGGAAACTGCATATGGAGAGGGCACTAGACGGGGGGATGTGAGACAGTGAGAGGTTTGCCGATCTTCGTGCTCTCGTGCTAACTTTCACGTCAAATTGCCTAATACAACAATGCGCTGACGCAATTCGGCACACTAGGAAAGGAAAGGATTGGTGAGATCCAAGCGAATAAGTCTTCGCAAGGTTTAGGAATCAGTTGAGATGTCGGGCATGTTTATCTCAGCAAGCTCAGACGGTATCTTCAGATGCTACACGTGACTGCAGTGTGGCGGTGCAGCCAAGGTATCTTCAGATACCCTCTGAGGTTGTAAGGTTTGTGTGGTGGTGTAGTTGAAGTTTTTAGAGTTCCCAATCATTTCAGTCAACCATTTAACTTTCAGTACTCGAAATCAGCTTAAAGCTTACGCGGGGCTAGGTAAAGGGCAAAGGTACCCGCTCTTTTATAGTATATTAAAAATATATCAAAATAAGCCTATAATATAGGATTATCATCGGCGGTTTCGAAGGGCTGGTGTAGTTGAGCTTTTTGGGCGACCCCGGTCGCCAATTTTAGTGGGGTTTAGTGCGCCGTAGGGGCCAAATTCGCTCTTTTTACCTACGGAATACACGCCCACCAAAATGCTGCAGAAGGCCCTCAGACGGCATCTGAAGATGCCTGCACCGCCACAAGCATCTTTGAAGATCCCGTCTGAGTCCCAACTGAGATAAAGGCATGTCACTTGCGAGTTACAACCGAAGTTGATTTCGTGATGGGGGTTCCATTTATTGCACGTGGCTGAGAGTGGGCGCAGCAAGGGAGGATTCTTCAGGTTTCAAGGCATATTCTGACGACGGGAGTGAACTTGGCCATTCACCTTTCAGAATGTGTTATACTTCGTATGTAAGGTACCATGCAGATGAAGCACCAAACTCTCAAACTGATCAAACCCGCCTTTAAACGTTCCTCCGCCTCGATCCCTAATTAACCTCTGTGAAAGCATCGGACTGACAGTCTCTCTAGCCGAGCACCATGAGACTTGAGAAGGACTTCCATCCTGGCGATAGGCAAGATTGATTGACGCGTCATTTCTTCCAGTGTTTCTAATAGAAGTAAATTCTTCAAGGACGGCAAATTTATCATGGGCACCCTCCTCGCTAGGGGCAGGTACCTTGGTCTGAAGATGCCTTCGAGCGACGAAGTATCATGAATCCATACCATCCGAGATGCAAAAACACTCATATCTTCAGATGTACCGGGGGGTACATTCTGGGCTGTCTCCGCAAGGTGGGATTTCAACACAGCGTGGATGCGGACGAATCGATCGCGGAAATATCGGCAGCTGTGATTGAATATGTTTTCAATTTTCATACATATCACCAAGGCAGGGCGTTCGAGCTACGTTCTTTAGCCACCCCCCCTGATGCACATAGAAACATAACCTCTCCAATATGGATTCAAGTCCACAAAAGCGATATAATTTAGGAAGAATGCCTGGGAGCACACATCTCCGTTGTCCGGTCGGAGTCGCCGAATTTTTAGGCAATTGTCAATGACATGCACGCTGTTACTATAGGGATACCCCTAAGAAACCCACATTCTTTCCCTCCACCTGCAAAATGCAAGGCAAATGAAGGCTGACAGAAACGGCAGTAACAGTGTCTGGATCTTGTCCTCGGATAGATCTACCGGATGAATAGAAGACTCGCTAGGACAGGTCTCCAGCATAAATTTCGTATGGGGGCTTGGAACGTCCTCAAACTAGACAGCGTTCTCTTCGCAGCTGAATATATGCGTGGTAGGTATCCATTGAGTAGTAGGGCTTGTTGGACATCGAAACACAGTTGAGACTTGAGAACCACTCCAATTACCATGCCATATTTCAATATCCTTCCCATAAGCTTTGGCAGCAGAAAGAAAAGCGTTTAGCGGTCCTTGGAGAACTGCACGAGCCGTATCTCGGGTATATTCTTTCGAATGATGTGCCTCTGGAACATACTCGTGCCAGACGTGCGATATAGGAAGAAAATTGACGTCGTTCTGTTTGGAGGAGGTCAGTCCAAAACTATTCAAGGACATCTAAAAGTTACAGAAACAGCTTTATCCTTGAAATAGACCAGAATAGACCTTGCTTCGGACAAACCTCCCCTGCTATAGCTTATTGTCATCGCCGAGGCACCTGAATCTTCATCATGATCTGTAGGAAGATGCCTCCTTGCCAGCGTATGGCGTCCTTCGGAATTGGTCATACTCAGAGGGTTTGTCGGAGAATGTCGATCCACTTCCAACAACTTGATGAGAATCGGGATTAGTACATCACTGAACTCGCCCAGACATGTCGCCTGAATCGACTTCTTCAAAATATGCTGCAGCCACTTTCTTATGCCAATATCGAAACTTTGAATGCCTCTACGCAATGCTCTCGAAATATATTAACCCGTATTTCCAAGGCCTTGCTCTTTTTATGCTCCGCACCATCATGGAGGAGAATTGTGGTTCGATTCCTAATCGATACGGGGATTTCTATAAGTACAGGTCGAACGCTGTGACCAACTTCTAAAACCCCCAGATTTGTTGGTGTCGTTGTCGGCCATCGTTGGAGATTTCATCGTCCAACCGACCCATAACAGCAGTGTAATATGACTGTTAGCATTTTAGCAACTTCAGGATCTTGTCACTACAAAGCCTGTTTCTCCAGCAGAGCACCCGGGGCGGTAAGGGACCATGCTATTCCGACGCCAATCGTGGGTAGAAGTTCGATCGGTTGAGCCTGGAGGTTCATCTCTCGATTTCTCGGGTTAGGTTTCGGTGATGGACATATGCCTCGCCGCGACCAAGACTAAAACGATGCAGGTCGCAGACAGCATATATCGGGGTAAGTAGAGAAAAAAGATACAGATGGTAAGCCAACACGCTCATAAATGAAGAAAAACAAGATGAAGTGAAGAAGCAGGGAGAGGATTGTATTGCAGACAATGGAAGACTGAATTCCACGTCCTCGCCGGACAGCTCAGCCATGTTGGTGGCGCATCATAAGCCTTTTCGATACGGATACCTCCATATTAATTTACTGGTGGAAATATCCTCAGCCTCGTTGGATCAATACCTAGGACGAAGGCAGGTGGAAAAACAGTGACTTTTGGGAACTCAGCCTTGGCCCTGGAAGCACGGTTTCGTTCATGTGAACTGTTTTGGCGGGGTCTTGGGTCATACTTAAGTGCCTACGAAGCCTATGAATCCCCCAAGCACCCCCTACCCAGGTTGCAGGCTCTCTTCTAACTTCAGGGATCCAAATTCTAGTTTCTTTAAACTTTGCAATTTCATGTCCATTTCTTGGTTAAATTTTCTAGAAATGGTATAGAATGATAGAGCTCATCGATACCAAAATCTTAATACTATTTTCTATAACGAGATTTAACTCCGTGGTGGCAACTATCTCGTTTTGGCTGATTTTTTAACATTTATTCCTGAGAAACCACGGTGAATATATAATTTTGATATCGATGATGGGAATCCGAAGAGAATTGAGCCGGAAAGCGCCCCATCGCCCCCTATCTTTAAAATGTTGGCGATTTTTGGAAACTAACCTAAATTTCTATGATTCTAAGCACCTTAGGTAATTAAAATAGGCCGCATTGTCGACTTGGTGGCTTGGTAATCTGGAGCGGAAGCTGCCCGGTGAAGCATGTCAATCTCTAGAGCATCACGTCGGTTGCTCGGTTGGTATAAAAGGAGTCTGACTGTTATAGGCATGGCCCATGGTTGGCATAGGCTGAGAGCCTAAGCCTAATCAAGCCTAGTAGCGTCGAAATGGAACCTCATCAAGATTCCTCTGTCACAGATACCTTTACTCTTTATCTCAATCTAGAATATCTTTGGCTATGTGTATGTTGTGTGCATCCAGCTACCGTGCCGTAACACTGACGCGGTGTTAACTTGGTGTGTGCAAGAATCGAAGCGAGTCCGGTGATCGTGCGAGACAGTTTGGGAATAATGGAAGGACAGGAGTCCCAAAGGACATACCTCTGGGGGATATAGTGCATGGTATAGAACCATTTCATTGTTGAAGATTTCAGTTAATGTCCAGCCGAAACACCAGTAGAGCCACCATGGCATATTGAAGAATCCGCGGTTAGGAACAATATTGAGCCCTACCATGATGAATAACCCAATATCTAGCCACTTTACATTGTCCTGTTCTATTCAATCGTACATAATGACAGACTCACAAGCTCAGATGGAAGCTACTGCTCCAACGCGATCCGCTCCAACACCTCCTCAACCTTCTCTCGCACCCCCTGCTTATGCTTCTTCTTCTCCAAAAAGTGCTGCACGATCTCCTCGCCCATGTACCGTCCTTCCTTCGCGACCTGCCTGATGTCCTTCTCCTGCGGCAGACCGATATCCTTATGCGGATACTCCACAAACGACGACTCCTTCCGGTTCACCAGCAGCTCGAGCTCCGGCTCCGCGTTGAAGAACTTCTGCACCTGCTGCTCGGAGACCTCGGGTAGGGTGTTGGGCTTCCAGTCGGGGCGGGTCTTCTTGCGCTCGATGAGCCGGGCGGAGACGCCCTCGACGAAGTCCGGGTGCGCCATGAAGACGCCGGCGATGGCGTGTTCCATGCGGAAGGCGGTGGCGATGTCCCAGGTGCGGGCGACGCGCATTTGCTCAAGGGTGACGGCGACGGAGGTGGGGGAGCGCTCGTTGATGGTCGCGGTGGTTCGGGCAGCCCACTTCTTGATGGCCTCGGAGGAGTTTGAATCGTTCGTGATGGCTTCGAGGCCAGAAAGGACGGAGGATATCTTGTGGTTCGGGTTGAATACGGTGTCGATGATCAGTCTTTGCTGTCCGGTGATGGATGGTCGTGGACTGGGTAGACCGGTGTTGAACTCCTCGATGGTTGCGTTGATGATCTGGTAACGTTCCTGGAGTGACGTATAGTCTTTGAACTGGAGCTCGGCAAGCCGTGATTCGAGTTCGGGTAAGGATGTCGAGTGCATGAAATGAGTTGCGACGCCATGATAGCTGTTCAAGGTCAGAAGTTGTCCGCTTCGAGAAGCCACTTGAACTCACAAAACGTCAACGCCCTTCAGCTGCTCACTCGTGAGAGCCAAGTATGTTCCCAAATTTCCGTCCATCTTCGGCAGGAAGAAACTCGCTCCCACCTCTGGGAAGAATCCGATGGTCGTCTCCGGCATCGCGAACACGGTGTTTTCGGTCGCGATCCTGAACGGGGCGTGGATGCTCAACCCAACGCCCCCGCCCATCGTGATGCCATCCATGAATGCAATATACGGCTTGCCATACGTCGCAATCATATGATCAAGCCCGTATTCGACCGCGAAGTAGTCTTTCGACCTTTGCTGACCTGCTGGGCCTTCTTTGTTCCACTTCGCGAGGGCTGCGACATCACCACCGGCACAGAAGGCTCGTCCGGCACCTTTGATCAATACCACGTTCGCCATGGATGATTTCTCCCATTCCTATTCCCATATTAGCCAGACATTCCCGCCAATACCAATATCTAGGATCCCATACTCTTAGGCGGGGTATAATTTTTCGCGCCATCGATCCATCTAGCGAGTTCAACTTTTTCGGCCGGTTGAGTTCGATGAGTCGTAGTCCATACTGGTTCGTGAATACGACGTCTTCGAGGTCATCGTTTGGTTGCTCTTTGATGAGCTCCTGCATCGAAGCGTACTGCATGCCATATTGTGAGCGTCTGCCCCTCTAGAAATCGTGGTCGGGACTTACTCTCCGTGTCTGCGGCATTGCGGAACTCTGGACTTTCGCTCGGAGAGGCATGTTGAAGGCTGGGCGATATGAGCACCGTAGGACAGGCACCGCTATCCGGAGTAGAGATGATCGGGATGACATAAGGAAGAATTGACAATATGGACTCCAGGGACGTGAAGAAGCTTAACACCGGACGATCAACCTCGGGTTAACTTATGATATTGTGATGAAGCCGATAATAGCTATTAGAGCAGGAGTCTCCGTGTGCCAACAGCTCTTCAAACAACTGTATATATGCACTGAATGATCAATTGAGAGTAGATGGTCTAAATACAGGTGAGAAGCCAAATATCAAACTCTCCTTCTAGCCGACTCCGGCAATAGTTCTCCGCAGCTTCGCGTCACGCCTGCGCAAGTTGTCGATGGTCGCATTATCCAATCATCGTCGTTGTATATTCTCTGGTCCGTGCTCATCGACAAATTCGCGCAGATGCCGATTTGAACAATTTCTTGCTCTTGCAGCTCAGCTTCCATCAGGCGTTACGTACATCTGTGCCTGCTTCCCTTCTCTTCCTTTCCAGTCATTTTCGTTGCGTTTTTACGTTCGGGTTTGATTCCGGCTGCCAATATGCCTTTCTCCGTGACGTGCTTCGTTCGCACGTCGCGTACCTTCGCTCGCAGCTCAGCTTCACAGAACCCCCTGCGACAGGCTTTGGGAGTTAAGGGGAGTGCGAGGTTTGTTTTCCAAGCAAGAACTTATGCTCAAGCAGCATTTGAGCGGAAGAAGCCGCATGTCAATATTGGTATGTGGTTCTCCCAATGGCAGAGAATGATGGGACAGGCATGGCTGATGTGTCTTGAATAGGAACTATTGGGCACGTCGATCATGGCAAGGTAAACTTTGACTGCACACTCACGATGTGATCTGATGGACTGATCTGATGATTCTAGACTACATTAACTGCCGCGATCACAAAACGACAAGCCGAAAAGGGTTATGCCAACTTCCTTGACTATGGCTCCATTGACAAAGCTCCCGAAGAGCGAAAGCGTGGTATCACCATCGCAACCGCACACATCGAGTATGAGACCGACAACCGCCATTACTCCCACGTCGATTGCCCCGGTCACGCCGATTACATTAAGAACATGATCACCGGTGCCGCGAACATGGACGGCGCCATCATCGTCGTCGCCGCTTCGGATGGACAAATGCCCCAGACCCGAGAGCATCTGCTCCTCGCTCGCCAAGTTGGCGTCGAGAAAATTGTTGTGTTCGTCAACAAGGTCGACGTGGTCGAGGACAAGGAGATGTTGGAGCTCGTTGAGATGGAGATGAGGGATCTGCTGACCACCTACGGTTTTGAGGGTGACGACACCCCCATCGTCATGGGAAGCGCACTTTGCGCGCTGGAAAGCAAGCAACCTGAACTCGGCGAGCAGAAGATCGATGAGCTGTTGGCGGCGGTCGATTCGTGGATCCCCACCCCTGAACGTGCCCTCGACAAGCCCTTCCTGATGTCCATTGAAGACGTCTTCTCGATCTCCGGTCGTGGAACCGTCGTTTCGGGTCGCGTGGAGCAAGGCGTCCTGAAGAAGGACTCCGAAGTCGAACTGGTTGGCAAGCAAGAGTTCCCGATCAAGACCAAGGTCACGGATATCGAAACGTTCAAGAAGTCCTGCGAAGACGCGCGGGCTGGCGACAACTCCGGCTTGTTGCTCCGCGGCGTGAAGCGCGACGACGTCAAGCGCGGCATGGTGCTTGCGCTCCCCGGAACGGTCAAGGCGCACACCAAATTCCTGGCATCGCTGTACATCCTCACCAAGGAGGAGGGTGGTCGCCGCACGGGCTTCGGAAGCAACTACAGGCCTCAATTGTACATCCGAACTGCCGGTAAGTCCCCATGAGTTTTCCGTGCTATGACCATGCCTCTAACTTTTGCATAGATGAGTCCGCCATCTTGACGTGGCCGGAAGGTGTGGAGCACGGCAAAATGGCGATGCCTGGCGACAACATCGAGATGGTTTGCGATACCTACCATCCCATCGCGGTCGAGAACGGTACCCGATTCAACATTCGCGAGGGCGGTCGCACCGTCGGCACTGGCTTGGTGACCAGGGTCCTCAAGTAGGGAGCGAACGGAAAGTTGAAAAATGATTCAAAATTAGAGAGGAATATTCGCTGGTGAGGTTGGGGCAATTCAATAGAGCACGGAGCGCATGGCTTGGGAGTTATTGCGTGGCCTTGGGTTCATTGTGTACAATACGTGGGCTATGGGGACTTGTACAATAACGCATCGCACTGGGACCGCTCGAATTCTCCACTTCACCAAGTGTACTCGGAGACAATGTTGTCGGTAGATCAACAAATTGTTATATTACATGTATATTACATTGAAGGATCAACTGTCTCTATACGTTTTGCTACCGATGCTGTCTCACATACTCAGCCAAGACGACCGCCGCGGCCGTCTGCACGTTCAGGCTCCGAACGATACCCAGCTGCCGAATCTCGACAAACGTGTCCATCTCCAGCATCAGCTCTCCGGGGATACCGTATCGTTCGCTACCTAGCACGAAGACCGCTTTCGTGGGTAGCACGGCCTCCGCTGTACCTAGGATCACGCTATGGTCCGTCTGTTCAATCCCCACGATCGTATATCCCTCATTCTTTTTCGCTGCCAGCATCTGCTTCAATCCCATCTCCGGACACTCGTGAATCGGCAGATGAACTTCGGAGGATACCGAGAGTGCTTTGAATTCCTTGTCCGCGACGACGGATAGCGAGGGGATGTAGAGGCTTCCAGCACCGAACACTTCGGCGCAGCGGCTTAGGCCGCCGAGGTTGACGGGGTATTCGATGAGCGACGCGACGAGGATCAGGTCGCTGTTTCGGCAGCTTGTCTTCGAGTCGTCTAAGATATTCTCGATCGTGTAGCCTTTAGTTTGAAGGGGGGCTGCGGCGGTCGCGCCTGCCTCTGCCGCTTGAACCGCCTCTCGCTGTTTCTTCTTCGGTAATTTTACCGGCGGTCGCAGCTCTGGATTGCCGAGTGGTAAGGTAGCCGATAAACGGGAGGTATCTAGACCCGATTTTGCATCCTCTTCCCACAGCAGCTGGAAATCCAAGCGTGTCGCTATGGGTTGCTCGGATGGTTGTGCGTCGATGAACGATCCCTCCACCACGGCTGATAGGCTGCGATCCTCGACAACCCTCATTGGAGGGACACGTCCCGGTACGGCCGTCTCGGTTTTCAGTTTATGCAAGTATGCCGCGGTATTCTTCAGTATTGGGTTTCCAGTGATCGTATCCCAACCCCGCGATTCGGCATTGTCAAAGAGAAAAAGGATCGCCCATTGACTTGCGTATCGTACGGCGACGCTCGTGTACATCGACATGGCCATCAACAGCACCATTAACCGACTCGAGAAATCTTCGGACGCGACCGGCAGCTGTGCGATGGCTACAGCAGCGCGCACCAAGCTTGAGGTGTATTTCGGGTTGTGGAAATCGTTCGATGCACCTTCGAATGCTCGAAGGAAGTCGTCGTGCATATCGGGCGTATGATGCAGGAAGCGGACGAGTATCCATTCCACGAGGATGCGGAAACGTGGCATCGCCTCGATCGAGAGCAACCGTAGCAGGGGCTCGAAATATTGCTTCGAAGTTTCTTGGGAGAAGACGGACTCCGCTAGGATGAATGCGGCCTGCAATTGGGAGGTCCTCTTCCATTTCGCTGGGATGGTGGCGTCTTTCGTTGACTGATTCGTCCATGGCGTGATGATTCTGTCGAAGAGATCGTAGCAGGCAGAATCATTCAATGCACATAAATGATTGAACATGTCAAATGTGCATATAAGACTGTAGGATTCGTGAGTGAAGCCGCTACCCAGGCCATAGCGGGTTGAGAGCTCTGGACGGCTGGTAGCAGGCGAGCCGTCCCTTCCCTTCCCAGCGGGCTCAAGCAGGTACTCCATAGACTCTTCGTACGAAAAGTCTAGCACAATCCTAGGAGGATCAGATACAAATTTGTAAAGGAAAGAATCGAGATGGAAAGCCTGGAACGCTTCTGGGTGTTTGAAGAACGCTTCGCGAACGGATCGCATCAGCGAGGGGAGCGTCGCGATCCGGGTTCGACACAGGTCGAGCAACCCTTCCGCCCAACTCGAGACCAGATCGGCGAATTCTGGGTGTCGCATGCCATGACGGAGGCAATTTTCGTGGAATATGAGCTTGGGGAAGATGTGGCAGGTTGCGCGGGGGAAATCTTCGATTTCAAGTCGCTCCCAGATCAGCTGTAATATACGGTCTAAAGCAACTCCTTCCTCTTCTTGGTCTGATGAGTTAGTCTTTAGGAGATTATAAACGCTCGAACAAACGGACTGTAGTCCCTCTCCTCGCAAGAATCGATAATCTGTGCTCTCAAGGGACCGTAAAAACCCTTGAAAGGGCTTCGGCTGCAAATCTTCACGAGGAGACGCAAGTTCGATTTTCGGGTGGATTGGTAAACCATGGTCGCTTTCCTGCGTCTCCTGTGTGCTGTCGCTATGCGGAGATTCCAAGCTCATCTGACTGGCATCTTTCGGTACTTGCGAGATATTTGTGGCAAGTTGACCGATACGCTGAGCGAGGATCCGAACGACTCTTAAAGCGGAAGGAGGCAGAGACACTTTGGCAGGGAGCTGGAGTTGACGAAATAATTCAACATGCCTATCAGTGATAATATATGGCCTGTACGCAGCGGACTGGTATATCCCATGAAGGATGAATGCCAATCCAGTCGGGTTAGGCGGAGGAATTTGGATCAAGTACGTGTTTACGATCTGATGCATAAGCTCGGACGCCTCATCTTCTTCCAGTCCATTCATTAGTGCCGACAAGAAACTCGAAAGCGCTGCGCCATGCTCGCTGACTATGCGGCGATTCACCCTCAGTAGACTTGAGGTAAAGTGGGTTCCCTGAGCAGCCCACCCAAGGAACGGGTTGACGATGAGAGATAAAAGGGAAGGCTCTCCCGCCCCGGTTGAAATATTTTGGCGTCGGCTGAGTGAAGCGAGTAGTTCCGGTCGGTCCATAACCCATTGCGCAATGATGCGTCGGTTCTTGTCTTGCAGCGCCGAATCGAAAGCTGGCGTGAAAAGCAGGAAAATCCACGATGGATGGACGGGAGAATCGTCGGCGCTGATTTTGTTGAGCTCTGGTATGCAGTCCTCAATCTGATTGAGATACCGTCCGATGATGATCGTCTCGAATAGAGTGCAGTACCTCTGATAGAAATTCTTGTCGTTTTCAATCTGCTCTTTTCGTATACCGAGCACGGGGGTTTCCCGAGGGTCTTGGATAGCATCTAGCGACATCCGCATGATGGCAAGCCCAAGTTTTCTTTGCTGATCGGACCCACGAAGAAGAATCTTCTGCAGAAGTATCCAATAAATATCTTTTCGAAGCGGTGCCTGAAGCTCGTCGCCCTTAGAGCAGGCTGCAAGTTTCAGCCACACGGCAAGTACACTCGCGATGGACGTCCCGCCATTTTCTCGTTCAGAAGGCAGCAGTCCCATTACTCGAGACCATACGAGTGAGTGGACGGATACACCTAGAGTAGGTACCATTACTTTGACAGATCCAGTTTTGGATGTTTCGAGCAGAGTAATGATCACCTGTCTCGCAGCATAACAAATCGCATCATCTTGAGCACCTAGAATGACAAGGAGGTGGCAGAATATGCCTTCGGGGATGACAGTCGGTACATTGCAGTCGCTGAATAACATGCTCAGAAACAGGACCAAGGAAATGATTTCGCTGCCAGACACAGACTCATCCTGTTCCTTGGGAGCGCGGTATCGCTGGCTCAGACCATGCGAAACCAAGAATTCTGCTGTCGATGAACTATCACGAATGGATGGGCATCCGGATATATAGTTGCATAAGTGCTCTTCAACTCTGAGCAGTACGCATGCCCTGACATATTCGGACTTTACAAGAACAGTTGCTAGGCGTCGACTCAGCGATCCAGTATGATCAGGCTCTTTCAATTGGCGAAATATTGCATCGCTATAGGATTCGATGACTTTTGATGAGTCTTGCTAGTCTACCATGTTAGATGTTACCGGATTAAAAGTTAATAAGCCGCACAACCTACCAGCTTGGCCTTGAAAGCAAGTGTAGACAAGATCTGTCCGACTGCGACCAACTGGTCTCCATCGGCGTGGCTGAGATGCGAAGAAACGAATTCTTCTAGGAGCCGTTGCTGTGGAATGGACTCGGCCAAGTCTACCGCCAAAACGTCCATAAGTTAGAGTGACTAGACGGTACATCCATCCAAGTATTGATTAACTATAACAAAACTTCGACAACTTTTAAACTAACGATGAATTGTAATTGTTCGGGAGTGATGGAATAACGCAGTCCATTTTTTGATGTGGGACAAAATTGGCAAGCTTCTAGAAGCGCCAAGCCTTAAACCCGTTGGCGTCGCAACCTGTTTGTTTACACTTTCCTATCAGTGCTACACAGTTCTGTTGTGTGACTGGAGGGAGTGCATACCGCACAGGCGCACCAACACACTAGATCGACCCACCTCACCAGCCTGACTCGTGTCGCTCCTTCGACTTTAGCAAACAATCGCACTTGCTGGACTTGATGCATCTTGTTCAACGGCTAAAATACGCGCAAACTTGGGACTGCATTCACGAATTACTATGCGACATGGCGATGGACCCGCGGTTTTATCGTGGTCTGTCTTGTGAGCCACGACTTTACGAATCCACTGCTTCGACCCCCTCGCTCAGGGCTACGGAGCCAGTCCCGGTCGCAATGTCGCCACGACTCGCGATGCACGATCAAGACAGCGCGAATGTGAAGGTGGTGGTAAGGGTGAGAGGTTATGTGAAAAGAGGTACAGACTCTTCAATTATCAAGGTGTTATCCGAGCTGCATTCTTATTTACCCTGAGCAGAGATCGAACGAGGGGCACAATGTCTGATCAAGATGAACCCCCGCACGCAGACAACGACCCTGCTTGCTCCAAACTCCTTGGACCCAGCAAATGCAAAAACCAACTCCCGGAAGGTCTTCGAAGAAAAGGCATTCACATTCGACAAGTCATTCTGGTCCCATAGGCTGGAGGATGACCACTATGCGCATCAGGAAGATGTATACAAATCGTTCGGCGAAGAGTTCCTCGACCACAACTTTGATGGATACCATACCTGCATTTTCGCATACGGCCAGACTGGCTCGGGGAAAAGCTACACAATGATGGGCACTCCAGAGCAACCTGGACTTATCCCTCGAACATGTCGCGAGCTGTTCGGTCGAATAGAGCGAGATCCTTCGCCCAACACCACCTACAATGTCCACGTCTCTTACTTTGAAGTGTATAACGAACATGTACGGGACCTACTTGTGCCACGAACGAATCCACCTCATTACCTAAAAATCCGCGAGTCGCAGACGGACGGTGTGTATGTCCAAGGATTGACCGATGCACCGGCGAAGAACTACGAGGATGTTGAACGTCTTATGAAAATGGGCGATAGTGTATGAACTACGTGTCTGTGGCGAAGAGATCGCGCTGACTAGGATACTTAGACCCGAACAACCGCGTCCACGAAAATGAACGACACGTCTTCGCGATCCCACGCCGTCTTCACCATCCAGCTGAAGCAGATCCAACACTCCCTTACCACAGATGAGACGATCGAGAGCTCCGCACGTATGCGACTCGTCGACCTCGCTGGTTCCGAGCGAGCAAAAGCGACCGAAGCGACCGGACAACGGCTCCTCGAAGGAGGAAAAATCAACAAGTCCCTCACCACACTCGGTCGCGTCATCGCTGCCTTAGCCGATCCACGACGGCAAGGAGGACCGAACGGAACACCGAGGAAAGCCGCACCGAGAGATATCGTCCCGTACAGAGACAGTGTCCTGACGTGGTTGCTAAAGGACAGCTTAGGTGGCAACAGCAAAACCGCGATGGTCGCATGCATTTCACCGTGCGACTATGACGAGACATTATCCACCCTGCGCTACGCCGACCAAGCCAAGCGAATCCGCACCCGTGCAACCGCCAACGTCGACGCCATCTCCGCCGCCGAACGCGACGCCCAGATCGAAATGATGGCCGAGACGATCCGAAGCCTGCAAACAACCATCAACGTGACGCGTGTGCGGCGCGAGAAAGAAGAAGAAGGCCTGGAAGACTACCAGAAACAGGTCAACAAAATGCAGCGACTGATGGAAGAGACCCGCGCAGTCAGCGATGCGAAGGTTAAAGCGCTGGCGGCCGAGGCGGAGGAGTTGCGGGTCGCGAATGAGAAATTGGTGGACGAGACGGCGGCGTTGCGGAGGCATTTGGGGCTGGTGTTGGGCGAGCTGAAGAATCCGATCGTCATTCCGAGCGCGCAGCCCGTGGCGTCGGTCGTGCCGGTTCCAGCGATGACGACGATCGATTTCGAATATACAGCGGAGGACAAGGAAAATGGGCAGGCGAAGGAGACTGATGGAGAGGGATACATTGAACCGGAGGCGACGCACGGTGATTGGGCTGCCGAAGTATCAGAGGAGGCAAACGAGTTTTTGAAAGAGTTGGGTCTCTTCCGGCGGAAGATTGGCGATGATACCCAGCGTTTCGGCAGTCGAGGCCCGCTCGTGGAAGTGCGCGTCAATTGAGGTTTGGTGGGCACATCTGCAAAGGGCGCAAGGAGTTATTCTGTTCATTGTATAGCAGACTGGCTTGCCAAGAGGGCAGCATTATGAGACTACGCAGCAAAATTTGGAAATACTCAATAGGAGAGCTCATCGTTTCGTCGGGGCAAGTTGTGCGATCATGCGATCGAGTTCGCCGACTGTGTTGCCCGCCGCCTTGCTCTTCAGATCATGGAGCGCGCCCAGGTCCTTCGCTTTGAGCGCCTCTTCCCCCGCCCGAACTATGAGACCGCATTTCAACCACATTTCGATCCGGTCGGATACCGTCAACCCCGTGCACTTCGGGATGAATAGGGACGCTGTGCGCGTGTTGCCGGCGGCGAGGATTTCGTTGTAGAATGGCTATCGACACGTGTCAGTAACTGTCACCATAGTGGAGTACAGATTCAAAACTCACCTCCCAGCTAATCGGGCTGCGCTTAACCTTCGCCATCTCTTCCAGCTCAATCCAATCTCGTTTCGACACCAGCGCTCGCAGCCGGATCCACCAGAAGGACTTCTCCGGGACCTTGAACTCGGACTGCACGCGTTGCGCTCGCTTGAGCTGCCCGATGCGGACCAGCTTGAAAATGGTCTCGTTGACCGAAAGGCCCGTGAATCCCGGCCCGGCATCCTTCTCGATCGCATCTTGTATCTTCAGCAAGCGTTGGGTCTCATCGATGCATTTCGCCTGGAACGTGTTCTCTTTGGAGTCCTGGAGAAGCTTCGCGGCGAGTTTCAGCTTCTCCAGCCGTGCCGAGAGGACTTTCTGCGCCAGCGCTTCGTCGAAGAGAAGATTACACCCATCGTCGCGTCGATCATCTTGATAGAAAAGATCTTTCAGCAACTCTTTGTCTTGGTCGGCTGCCAAGGCTTGGACGAGCGCAGTCGCGACTGGTCGACCGTTGATGGTTCGGAAGAAGGATGCCAAGGGCAGTTTCTTCTTCAGTTGCAGCAAGACCGAGTAGACCAGATCGGGATCGCCGCTTTCTACCGCTTTGTCAAGGGCGATGACATCTTCCTTCATGTTCAATAATAGTGGCACCTGCTTTCCCGCTCGAGGTTCGTAGTTTAGCAACTCCGTGGCAAGCTTTGCTCGTCCTTCGTCGTAAGCAGCTTGTGCGATCTCCTCGAACGAGATTCCTTTCTTACCGTTCAACTTCTGAACGATGATTCGGCAAATTGCATCGTCGCTATCCAACGACACCTTGACCTTTTGGCTCGCCCAATGGACGTATATCCTTTCCGTTGGAAGATGCAGAAAATCTGAGAGTTTTAGCGCGAGCAGATACTCTTGCCGATTGATGAGACGCTCAATGAGCCTCTCCGGCGTTAAGCGGAGATACTGCTCGTATGAAAGCGGAATTCCAATTTCATAGAACCGCACGGCATTTAGAACTCGCAGCGTCTCACACATCTCGACGAACTCATCGCTGTTGTACAGATCGAGAACCGATTTGCCGAGGGACGCAGCTTTCATGAGCTGCTTCTGCCAGTGCACGTCATACTCATGGCCAGCTGCCTTGACGCATGTATCAACGGCTTCATCAAGGTTTGAGCGGATCATTTGTATATCATCATCTGCCTTCGGTGACTTTTGCTCCAGCTGTTCAACGGCATCTAAAAGTACAGATGCAGGTGATGTTGAACCAAGCCGGAAGACCTCCTCGACCGAGTCTTGGATTTAATTAGCAGCGGCTTGGATACCAAGTTCGGTGACGATTTACCTGGAACCCTCTGGATGAACTCGCATGCATCGTTGGTAAATAGTCGAATTCCATCAATGTCAGGAACCAGTTGAACCCAGTTATCGTAATAATACCTAAGATGATTAGCATAATCCATCAAGTCGTTGAGTTGGCCTACTTCGATGATGCCCCGTTTGGTCCGATGAGATGCACCTCGTCCTCCCACGCAACTATCACGGCGTTATTGCCGCACCAATGCAGGTCTTTTGGCAATGTCTTCACTCGCGTATCGTATTCGCTGAAGCGGTTCTGAAAATCGCTTGAAACGACCCAAACCTTGCCATCATCGGTATACAAAGCGACAAACTTCCCATTCGGTGATACGGCAAGATGTCGAAACGGGCCACGATCGAGCCCTCGATCTTCTGCCTCTGTCGCATCGAGAACAAAAACCGTCCGGTCGATTGCGAAGAGGACTTCTACTGAGCGTGACAAGGAGTCGCCTGGGGCTATCAACGTCCAGCAGTGGATTTCGCCTTCGGGATGGGCGGCAAGGACTTTTGGACGGGGTTCTTCATATTTCGAAACGGTGACAAATTCATTGTTCCCCAGGAGGGCAACGAATCCGGTCGACCAGAATCTGCATGATATAACTCCATGTTCATCCGCACCCTACCATTATTAGCGATCTGCGCCGAAGAAGTTCGAGCCTGCGAGTCAAACACACATGCGCAAGGTTGAATGGAATAAAGTCGCCTTGAAAGTCGTAGTACACCCGGACTGTACCGTCTTCCGTGACGACAATGAGCTTCTCATCTTCAGACCACCCAAGCCCTTTAATGGCACCCTTGTCCCACTAAAAAAAGTTAGCCATTATATCCGTGTTGATTGCTAGGCATTGGTGCGTTACATTTATGCGGCGAAGAAGCTTGCCTGCACAGCTGTAGATGTCGATCGCAGCTTTTGCTGTCGATCCACTCCGGACGGTTTGGAGTTTATTTTCATTCCTATGGAATGCTATCCGATGGATTAGAGAATGTATCGACGGAATTTATGAGACGTCAATGCCCACCTAGCGCTCCGCTGTATGGTGCTCCAGCCACCAGATAATTCTCTAGCTCTAGTTCTGTGTCAAAGACAGCGGTATAGAGCTGCACCTTGCGATAGAATCGGTCGCCCACCTTGTCCCATCCGGACATAGGCTTTGACGCGGACATAGTTAATTACGCATGGAAGGTCATTAGACAATCTGCATCATCGTCCAAATAACAACAAGCGGAAATGGAGCATTCTTTGCAATGATGGGGATCTCCTTTTCGGGTTAACCTGGGCACTTGTCACGAGGCCTTCCTGGAAAACATGAGCTCGGGATATCGGAACTGCTCTCCGCTCGCGACCTATTCTGACTCAGATACAAAGCTGAAATCCGGCTAGTTGGGAAATTGATCACGTTCAATTAGACATCTCCAGGTCTCCACACAATTGGCAACACACGTGATGAGGCTCCCCGTCCCCGAAACTCGCCAAGAAAAGGTTATTTTGACTTCAGGTCTAATTTCCAGCCCTATCACTCATTTCGTATCCTCGATAGAAATGTATTAATTCATAAAATTCCTGGTTTCGTTCGCTACAATAGATTGCCGGGGTGATGGTGAATCCGGGGGCACTCTTGCAGGATCACCAGTCTAGGAACCAGCGCCAACCCAACCAAATTGTACCTGTACGGTGGAAGGCACTGCATAAAAGGAGACTGAATTCACATCTTATTTCCGACTTTTTATTGAAAGAATGACGCTATGTTTGAGATGTCGATGCCCTTAATGTATGCGTTTTCATTGCCTCCAATTTTAAAAGAACATTCTGTTTCATTTCAAGTCTTCAATTCGAATTACCGGTTTGTCGAGAGTCCTACTGTTGCCCAACAAAAGCCTGTCCTCTGCTAGTCAAGTTCTCCCTTCTCGTTAGTTCTACTGTCTTGTTAGTTCCTTCCTGCTTTTAATTCGCATTCAACCCAGCAGATCCTCCAAGCCAGGGCAAGCCAAGGCAAGACAGCGGCATAGCTGGGAATGTTCGTGGTTAAACCATTCACTTTATCTACTCTGTCAAACCTTGGGCTTTTGGTTTCCCATTGCAGCATAGGAATCAGTCAGTTTAGTTAACTTATCTTACTCTACTTTCTCTACGGCCACCACTTGGTGGTGCGAGTTGATTGTGCAGTATTCCCCCGAAAGCACATTGCGTCTGCGAGGAAGCAAAATGCATTGAAATGAGCAGACAATACTGGCTTCTTGCATCCTGCCAGTGCTTACTGGCTCTCGATCACACATTAGTCATGCCGAGGTATCGACATACTCCAACCTGAGACGATCGTAAATGATTTTAGCTGCTCGAAATGGCGTGTAATTAGATTGGTACGCTCAGGGCAGTGAGTCACTGCAAAGTCCAGCTCTGTGAGAGATTCCATGGTTTCATAGGAGAAGAGTTTGGCGCAAAACGCAATAGAAATTATATTGGCCAATCTGATGTTCCTACCAAGTTTCTTAGTGTACTCTACCCAGGGTTCCGCCGAAGCTCAGACTTTGCCCTTACCAAATTCCTACCACAGCTGAATCCGAACGAAATCCCCAACTACAAGATGAAATGATGCTGTAAGGAGGAAACGAGCAGCGATCTTGCTCAGGATGAATATGAATAATGTGAGAAGGCACGTAGGAACTTTCTCGAGCGTCAACGGTCGCCAACTGATGGATTGGGACCCTGGAGTTGTGAAGAATCAGCCGATAGGGGTTGGCACGGGTGGCATAACTCGACCAAGGCTACTCGCTGGTACTTCACGGTTCCCCTAGAAAATTTTGGTCACGACCCAGCTGAGAGTGTCCGAATCGCCAGCTGTCCGAATCGCCCTCCAACGTAAGTACGTGGTTTCACCCCCGCTCCGAACTCTCCTTCCTTTTTCTTCTTTTATTCACGGTGAGTGAGCTATTGACTTGGTGAGGCGGACTCTTTTCGCAATCTTTTCTGGCAGGCATGATCCTCAGATCGCCTGTCGGGCCCGCAGTCGACTGAAGGCGATCCGTACAGACGTTTATCCGGTCTGTAGCGTGGGTGCGATAGCATTTATGTTAACTCAACATGTTTGGCGCGGCCGGGTATCGCAAGGATTGAGCGAGCTTCAGGCTTCGTGCCTCTTGGGAGGGTTACCTCATCAGTTCACTGCGGGGGTCTGGTGTTGGTATTGTGAAGTACTACGATCCGTTCGGACGAGTGCCTAGCAGCCTCCTTATGTCCTTGTTACCATCTCACTCAGCCTTTCATCTCAGGTACGTCTGTCTTTGCGCACTAACTCGAACCGCAGGTGTTTTGCATGTTCTCTGCTTACCCATAGCGCCCCTCAGTCATCGTCAGCTTGCGGGCGCTTCACAGGCTTCCCCAGCTGCCGTCACCTATCATGGTGCGTAGCCCCCGGGCAACAAGTAAGATCCACTTCGCTTTCACTCTTCACACAGTGATGCGTTCAGTTCTTCTCATTCATCCTGGGACCCTAAGTGGTCATTCATAATCGTCTTGCATGTACGTTTTTCTTGTCTTTGCTTTTTGTCAGTCAGTGATGTAGTCAGTTGTTTTCCTTTATCCCGTGGACCCTGAGTGGTCATCGCCGCCTCGCATGTATGTTCTTCTTCCATTTGCTTCTTGCCAGACAGAGATGCGTTCAGGTTTTTGCCTTCATCCTTTGAATCCTGAGTGGTCATCACCGCCTTGTATGTTCACCCTCCTCCTTTTTTGTCAGACGGTGATGCGTTCAATTCTTCTTCATGGCGGGATCTGGTGAGTAATCTTTTCATGTATGTTCGCCTTCCATTTTGTTCTTGTCAGACAGTAATATGCGCTCAGCGTTTCTCTTCATCAGTTACCAACACCGCTACAAGGCAAGCACTCCATCCATTCACTGTTGAGTTGCCAATACACGTTGTCCTCGTCGTCGTGCACTGCCGTTCCACCTCGTCATCTCCACTACATCACAGTCCTCTCATCGCTGACTTCCAGTCCACTCTACCTTCGCGAGCCTTCCTCGCTGCGCCCGGCTTCTCAGCCACAGGTCAGTTCCTTCTGTTCTCCCCCCCCGCAATGTGTGAATCTGACATTAAAATAGGAATTTCGTCTCGTCTTGTCAGACAGTTTGGTTCCCATTGGTGGTCGCCCAGGGACTTCGCCCCCGCCAGTCAGTATCAACCCTGCGATTTTGCTTTTTCTCACTGGCTCAGCCGTCCAGATTCCTCATCATCCTCTCTAGTTTGGTTCCCATCGAAGGTCACCTAGTCGAAGGCCACCTAGGAACTTCGTCGCCATCGGTGAGTAGCATCGCCACACTTCTGCTTATCCTTGCTGACTTAACGTCCAGATTCCTCACCGTTCTCTCTCGCTCGAGCCCAGGGATGGGGCGGGTACTCATCATCTTCGGACATCATCACTTCTGGCTCTGAGCAAGCTTCCAACCTCACCGGCCTTCAATCTCATCGGCTTCCAACCTCATCGGACGATCCTCCAACAGCCGCCTCCACTAGTATGTGTGCTCCATGTGCAATTTTCCCCTACAGTTCACTATTAACACTATCTCAGCTTCCACCTCCACATTACCTCACAGCTCGATCCACGCGACAGGGGCGGGTACTCATCACGGTTTTCAACTTTTCGGACCTCGAGCACAATAAATTTTTGTCACACTTTATTTGACACCCAGCGACTTTGGCTTTGCCAGTTTGTGACCACGGTCTTCTGTTTCCTGACTTCTTGTAGCCAACATGCTCCCAGCTTCCTTGCGTCTTCCATCATTTCGGCGTCTTGCAATCGTCATCTGCATTCGTCATCCTCATTTCGGTATCCTCTTCGTCGTCTGCATTCATCAGCTTTCGGCATCTTTGTTTCGCGACTGCATTCATCACTGCTTTCGCCATGCTTATTTCGACATCCTCTTTCGTCGTCTGCCTTTCAGCATCGTTTTGGCATCCTCAATTTCGCTCCTGGATTTCAGCGTCTTTATTTTGGCGTCCTGATTTCCTTGCCTATTTCCAGCGCTTGCATCCTCATTGGGCACCTGCTTTCGGTATCATTCCGATGTGCTTACATCATCAGTCAATTTAGTCGCATCTCTGAATCTCCTCATCTCGGTTTTCTTCTCACGGCTACTGCATCTCGGTTTCTTTATCGCGGCCTCCTCATCATGGCCTCTTCATCGCGGCCTCCTCGCCATGGCCTCTTCCTCATGGTCTCCTCATCTCAGTTTTTTCATCATGGCTCCTAATCACGGCATCCTCATCATGGGCTCCTCTTAACGGCCTCCTCATCACGGCCTCCTCACGGTCTCCTCATGGCCTCCTCATCTCAGTTGCTCCTCGTGAGTCGTGTGACTCTTGTTACCCTTACCTTCTTGTTGCTAATGTCTTTCTCAGATTTCCTCGGCGTCGTTCTTTCTTCTTCGGACATCGCCTCCGCATCTCTCTCAGGCTCCACGGGACAGGGGCGGGTACTCATCGACTCGGACTTTCTTCATTTTTAAGCCTCGAGTAGACCGATCTTAGCGGAGATTGTTTGGGCCTTGGGAAGGGGATGGTAAGTTTTCCTGCTTACTTATTTAACCCTTCTTTCGCTAATGCCTTGTCATAGGTATCTCTCATGATCAGATTGAGCCTATCAGACGGCCATGGCCGAATGGCCGAACGGATTGTCATCAGTGTATATAGTTTTTTCAAACTGTCAACCTTTACCACACACCAAGCACCCTGTGTACACCCACCACCAATTTCATATATTTGACTCATTACTTGAGGCCATGGTTGCTGACCAGTCTATTCCGTCGTGAGATCAACGCATAGATGCCCTAACGGCCTCGACGCGGACGCATCCACAGACCTGCCCTTCTTTGAGCTCGGTTCTTGTCCCATCAAGCTGCTAGGAGCTTGATCGCGAACGACATACTTGGTGTAATTTATTCTGCGAACGAACTTCAATATTTCAATGTATTCCTTATTAGGCCTATCTTCTTTCTACTAACGTCGCTGTCTCTTGCGCGGGCTAAGTCCTTTCCAAGCATTTGAAGCCGTCTCTGCTGCAGCACGCTTAGGACGCTGTCTACGCACATCCCCAGACCCAAAAAGAGGATTTTGAGCATCGACTTGTGCAAATTTTTCGGCGTAGAAAGCTTGCATATCTCCAAAGTGATAATTCCATGCCATTATTGGGGTGCAGGAAGCATATATTCCGCTTGTAGCGAGAGCCATGTTCCGTGCTTCAACCAGTTCTATGGGGTCGTTTTCCTGCCCTGTCTCTGCCAAAAAATTGGTCACTGTACGAAGGTCACTGCAGTTATACAGAAAAGGCTGAAGCCGTCGACGTTCAATGTCGGCAAAGAACTCTTCCAACGTCGGAGGTTGCCAAGCAGTCTGTAGAGGGGATTAAGCTATAGTAACAGACACTGTAACAGAGACAGGTGAAGACAAATGAGATAGAGTAGGGGAAGATATAGGAGTAGGTACAGGGACCGACATAGATATAGAAGTAGTTATAGTGTTCGCAGCTAGTGTAGATGTAGGAATTGACATAGCGACAGAGGTGTTTATGTGTCGTAAGACCTCAGCAAGTGTTTGACCCCGAGGTTGAGGAGGAGGCTGAAATTGAGGGATAGAAGGTGGCACACGTCGTTCAAAAACTGATGGATCTCGACGAGTTGATGCCTCGTTCTTCCTCGGTGCACCTCTTGTTTAAGCAGGAAGCGGCTCTAGGATAGATTGATATGGCCTTGGAGAGAGACTTATTAACCGTCCTTGCTCGCGTTGATAGCGCCAATGATCGTCGTAGTCATTTAGTCGTAACGTCGATCTAGAATTCATCATATCTCGTAGCGTATGATGACACGGAAGACCGTTTATGGCCTCAAAGAGACCAGAACAGGGATGTCCGCTGCGACGTTGTGTCTGCTCCTTCTGGCGCAGCAGATCCTGTTGTCTAATGCGTTCAATTGCCGGTGGCGTAAGAATGTCATGAATGCCGGGAGGTAGGAACGGCATTAACTCCAGTCTATGCCCGAATTTAACGCTGTGTTTAGAAGAAGCAATCTGTTTCTTATACTTGTTGTATTGACTCTTGACTATCTGCTCAATCCTTCCAACAACACGCAGCAAGTCGCCTCTTGAAGTCATAAGGTAGTCCTTCAATACCCTATGCATTCCTTCAACAAGAGAGGTTGTATTAGTATTATAGTGTCGATGCTGAGATGTCCAAGCAGCTGCCCACTTAGTGCGTGTATGCCATTGATTTTTGCGTAAGTATTGGCAAAGCTCTCGCTGGTCAGCATAGTCTTTGAGTAACTCGTCCCACTTCAGCTCAAACTCAAGTAGTCCTTTTGCGTAGACAAGCTGCTCTAGTTAGTTCTATGAAATACTTATAAGAGGCCATTAGCGGGGAGCATACCTGACTCCAACGTTTCATAAATTGACCCCGTTGCTCAGTGATTCTCTGCTTCTCCTCTTTTGTCTCGCCATCAGCGTCTCGCCAGGTCTTTTGAGCTTTTGTTTGCACGTTCTTGTTGATATGCCATACGCAAAGGAGTTGTAGAACACCTGGAAACAGAGTGCGAGCTGCCAGTTTCACCGCATCCTCTTGATCGCTAATGAACACGCGTGGCTGCGGTGTCCCTGTCTTGAGGAGGAAGTTTGAGATTGCCTAATGGTAATCTGCTTCTTTCTCGCTGTAGAGGAAGCAGAACCCCGCAGAGAAGAAGGTCTGTAGATTGGTGCAGCCGAGTATGTGCAACAGTAGGAGTTTGTACTTGTTGGTTCGGTACGTACAGTCCATCAATAGGATATCGGGATTCACAAGTAGTAGCTCGATCTGCTTCTGGTAGGCAAAGAAGATACCTTGTACGTGATTATCCGCGTCCTTCTTAACAGTAAAGACCCATTCCGGCGTAGATAAGTCATCCAGTAATGTCTTAATCGGAATCCTCCCATTCAAGTTCTTCTCTCTAATTGCCTTCCTCTCGCTGCGGATATCGGTAGCAGAGACAAGCGTTTCTGGGTCCTCCTTTTAAATGGCAGCCATTATCTGCATCGGCCGTACCCCAGCATGTATCATTAATTCAATTATGTCTTTCTATACTGATGTACGCCTGCGATAGACATTATGCGCACTAGGATTAAGTGATCGGGGGTGGTTATGATGCTTGTGTAGCACCTCTAGCTTCTACTGGTCGTCATTTTTATTCTTGAATATGACAAGCCTAAAATTACACCCTATTGTGTGTGTGCTTGTGCTTAGAATCCTTGCTCTTGACTGATAGTTTCCGGACCGATCACAATGATAGTAATATCGCGTCTTTATACCAGAACCGTGAGGGTTGCTCCATTTGAGTACGAAGCCGTAACCATGCTGCATACCATGGATCTTGAGAGCATTATAGGCTTCTTCATAGGACGCGTGAAGACCATCTGGAGGAGGGGCGATATCCTCTATGCTGAGGTCTGTAAGAGAAGGAAGAAATTGAATAATTATTGATAATTGAAGTTGTCCCTAACTAGGCGAGGATGAGAAATTGTGCGCTAGGCCCAGTTGAGCAATTAATTTCCACCATTACTAGTGTGAGGGAGAAATCTCATGCAAGGGAGAAATCTCAAATACGAAGGGAGAAATCTCACCAGCCAAATCTCACTGGCTGCGTAGCGTATTAGTAAAACCCAATCGCGAAGCGGGCTGAAAATTACTCAGCTTTACGCCCGTTGTGCCTAAAACTTCGGTCTCAGGAGCATCAACACAATCAATAGTCATGTCGTCTCAGCCTATTGCCTGATGTTGTCTGTACCGCTTTCAATGCTCCCATCCGCCTCAACGACCTCCGATTCCTCTAATGATGCATCCGACGATGATGAGCTCGCTACCGAATTTATATGGAGAGCTCGATCCGATGCGACATCCGCTGCAGAAGCGGACCCAGAGCCCCCATTAATGCCATCTCCAGCTGCACCGGCAGGCTCTTCCGCTGGATGTCTCAACTGCCCAACTGGACGCCCTGGAGAGGCCTCTTATATAGCTATTGATCCGGCTACTAAGATGCCTCTGGGCCAAACTGGAACGTCGTTTCAGAAGATGGAGGGATACGTCTCCTATTATCACAATCCGGAGGCGCTGCTTGATCTCCCTATTGGCGTTCAAGGCCCCATTAATGCTACAGACACCCAGAATGCTCTATGTGGAAATCCTAGCTGTATCGGCTGCGGCATTTCCCATCGTGATGGCCAGTCCCTAGATCCATTGCTTTATAATCGATATCCATCGTCCTTCGAAGAGCTTGTAGAGCGATGGGATCTCCCGCTTGTACTCTTCTCGCAGATATTCGATCAGAAGCTATATACGACGATCGCAGAGCACTCCAACAAGTACGCCCAAAAGCAACAAATCCCGGTTAGCCCTGTTACCGCAGGCCATATCCAGATATGGCTAGGTCTAGTCCTCTATATGGGGACCTTCAACATCGCATCTCGACGAGATCTATGGAGCAGACATGGCCAGCAACGTCTCCATTGTATCTCCAGATTTATGTCCTTTACTAGGTGGAATGATATCAAACGAATCATCCATCTTAGTGACCCCGAAACGGAGCCTAATCCGCACTCAGTCTTCGAGAAAGTCCAGCCGATTGCTTCGATTTTAAATGCTCGCTTTCAGCGTGTATATATCCCTTCAAACTATATTTCAATCGACGAGATCATAGTCAAATTCACAAGGCGCCCGAAAGAGATCGTCTCGAAACCTATCCCCGTGGACTATAAGATCCTGGCCCTCGCCGATAGAGGCTATGTTTATAGCTTTCTCTTTACCCCAGGGAATAGTTATGAGACTGCTGGAAAGAAAGATACATCATCAATCCATGAAGTTGAATATCAACCTCCCTTTGGGTGCGAAGATCTTGAGCTTACAGCCGCATCAAAGGCTGTGGTTACCCTCGCAGCCTCTCTGCCCGTTGACCTCCGCCGCTTCGTTATCTTTATGGATAACCATTTCACCAACGTTCGCTTGCTCTCCGTTCTTCGAAGGATGGGGGTTGGGGCCTGTGGCACGACAAGTGCAGCCTATAAGGAATATCCTTTACAGCACTTTCAAGTCGGGAAGGACGATTGCAAATGGCCGCTTCAGAAGCAGGATTTCCTCTGTATACGTGATGTTGCTAGCCTGCTATGGAAGGATCGAGTGCTCGTTCGCTTTCTTTTCACCGTTTTCAGCCCAGACGAAAATGGTCTGGTACTGAGGAAGCGCCCGGCGACTGGTGCCGCAGCGTATCAGAGAGAACTTGATCAAATCTACCCCCCAGGGGCCCATGAAGCGGAGGTTCTACAGCCTAAAGCAGCCATAATATACAACGCCTTTATGGGCGATGTAGATATCGCTGACCAGCGCCGAGCTTACTCCACGTCCCATCTCATCGGCCATAAGACATGGCATCCTATTCTCTTCTGGATACTCGATACAGTCGCTTCGAACGCCCATATCCTCGGTACATGGCAGTTTCAAAAGATGAACGTCAAATACCTACAAAACCTTAAGGATTTTCGTCTACAGCTCGCCTGGAACATGGTCATTAAAGGTACCTCGATCGACCATGGCTCCCGGTCGGTACAGGGCTTCAATGAGCAAGATGGACCTCAGATTCGAGGTAACCGAGGTCTTCGGAGAGCTGGAAACTCATATATATCGCGAAATACCGACTTTCCGTACTTTGCGACGCTCAGAAATGGAGCTCATCGCCCAGTACGGATTCCGAACGGCAAGCGGCGCTGGTGTTGGTTTTGTAGGTGGAAAAAGCGCAAAGATGACCAAGTTAAGGACCACAGGACGTTTCTCTACTGTGAGGTCTGTGGAGAGGCGTTTCCGCTCTGTACCACTTGTATAGAGCCATTCCATCAACAGCGACCTAGCTAGATTCTTCTTCTTCACACTCGACTATCTACTCTGTATGAGATTCTTGTACAAATCGAATGTGACGGCATGACTACCCGATTCCATACAGGCTTTTCATACCACTTGGGATGGCCGCGCTAATTCCAATTCCGGGATGTTTGATGGCTTGATGCAGCATAATTACCTAATATTCAGTGCTGGACTCCCTTTCCAATTTCCATCCGTTGCTATTGTTGGCTCCTTTTCTCAAGGTCCGTGCCCGCCCGCTTATTTTAACGTAAATTAACGTCCGCAACTCAGCATGGTCAGGGGTTACGGCGGACGAAGAGGACCGGACCTGCCAGCACGTGGATATCTGCTTTATGTTCCATAGGCCGACTTCATTAGTTCATCTGAGGAGTTCAGCTTTTGGAACTAAGATCCATCATATTCATAATATCCATTGCAATCTACGACGAATCTACTATAATATTAGCGCTACCTGCTATTCCATATTTGAAGCATTTCGAGGGGGAAGAAATTGAGTTACGTTTCTTGGCATTCCCTCAAGCACAGCTCCCACGACCTTAGCCAGAACGCGGCGAAGGATTCACCAAAAGTCCAAAACAGACCTCTAGTAGTCGCCTAGTTAGGAAAAGAGTATACTTTTTGTCTTTTGATATTATGCTGTTTTTGAACGAATTGGGCCTACCTATGAGTTAGTGGTAAGTTAGTGATGGTTAGAAGAATGCCAAGAAACGTAATTTCTTCCCCCCGGAGGGTGCTAGGACGTCACGCGTGCCATCAACATCCTCATTTATTGCGACATCACATTAATCAGAGCGATCGTTGTCTTCGAATCCGCCTGTACAAGCAGCCTTTCGTGTTTCCGCAGTTGCCGGGTTAATTATATTCATTTGATGCCAGGGGCATTCCGTTTATCCGTATTCCGGATCTACTTCTAGTTTATGCCAAGGGCAGCCAAGGTTTCCCTTACCCAGGCTTGGAGGCTTGGAGCACTTGTTCCCTGCCACATCCCACGCCCGAGGCATTTCAAGCCGCGATCGCTGATGATAAACGGCTGCGGTATGATTGCACGAACGAACCCCACAATGTCCAACGGCGATCAGTATGATCCTCACCAATGGATTTTCCTGAAGTTTGCACGCACGTTGGTAATTTCCCGATGCTGCATCACCACGTGTGCAACGATTGCGTTCGATTGGCAAAGGTTCTGCCTCTATGATGTGCTACATCAGAGAACCACCAAAGTGTATAAAGAAATTACCCGGATGCCTGTAGTCTAGGAATACTGATGGATATAAGCCTTCATTGTCCGCAAACAAGCTGTTGAATGAACCAGTGAGCGCTGTTTTCTTGAAAGCCAATATTGTTACTCACAATGCGGGCAGCAGCTCAGCTTTTCCCCCTCCTCTCTCTGGTTGGGCAAGTTCTTGGGGAGAGTTTCGATGCCAATATCAACTATGGCAGCCCGTCCCGAAGGCACGCCGGCCTCGGACTCGACGTCCCTCTAATTGAGCGGCGATTCGTGAAGAGAGATGATAGGACGTACGACCCTAAAGAGCTGAATTTCACCCACGGTGTTGCATCTGGGGACCCATATCCGAACAGTGTTATTCTGTGGACCCGCATCGCGCCCTCTCTAAAATCAGATGAGAGCAATGTGGTTGTCAGCGGCACCGCGCCACTCTATAACCATGATACCGAGCCATATATCAAGGCATCCAAGAACCCCATCTGCGTTGAGTACAAGGTATACTCGGATAAGGAGGCCAGAAGGGTTGTCGACAAGGGCAAGGCATATACCACCAGTGATATTGACTATACGCTCAAAGTAAGTCCAACTTCTTCCGGATCTATTTCTTCGACTGATTCGTTCCAGGTTGAAGCGAAAAATCTGAGGCCATTCACAAAATATTGGTATCAATTCAATGTCTGCGGCACAGATATCAAGAGTCCTCTTGGCCGAACGAAGACAAGCCCGAACGAAAACGACAGTGGCAAGGACATCAAGCTAGCCGTCTTTTCATGCTCCAATTACCGTAAGCATATCTAGTTGGCGAGGATAAGATAGCAAGACTGACTTACCCAGCGAATGGATACTTCAACGCCTACGGTAACGTAGCAAGGAAGGATAACGTTGACTATGTTGTGAGTGCTCCGGAATTCTAGGGATGTTCCATCACTGATTCTGGCTGCGTCAGGTCCATCTCGGAGATTACATCTATGAGACCAAAAAGGGTAAGTTGGGGACAGATGAACGAGCGACGGATCCGCCAAACGCCATCTTCACCTTGTACGATTATAGGACACGACATGGACAGGTAAAGTTTTCAAGCTCATGATAACCATGTCTGCACTTAACATCATGTTTCAGTATCGTTCGGATCTCGACCTTCGAGCCACACACGAACAGTTCCCTTGGATCCCGGTATGGGATGATCATGGTAAGAAGTACGTGTCACAATTGAAGTTGGTCTGACATTCTGCAGAGATTGCAAACAACGGTTACAGGGATGGCATGTCTGCGCTCAACAACACGGAAGAATCATTCCTCAATCATGGTGGTATCTCCGTTGACCAGCGCAAGATGAACGCCGTGAGAGCGTACTTTGAGTGGATGCCCATTCGGTAAGCTGGTACTCCAATGCTCCCATGACAATCCAGTAACACGGCGAACAGACAAGTGGATATGGATGACAATCTCCGTATTTGGAGGTCCTTCCAGCTTGGGAAAACTATGGATCTGATCATGTTGGACACCCGTAACTATGATCGCAGCATTACGGACCTTGGTGCGATTCCCCACAATCCTATGATCGGTGACAATGACCGTACTGGCGAATAGAGCGCTGACAAGAAGTTAGGCTGGAATGCCGACTACATTGACCTCATCGGAAATGATGCCGCACGCACGCTGATGGGCTCTCACCAAGAGAATTGGTTCTATAATCAGTTGTCCAAGTCCCAGAAGCGAGGAGCGACGTGGCGAGTGATTGGGAACCAGCTCGTTTTCTCTCGAGGTGCCCGCGTGGTCGACGGAAAGCTTACAATGGCCGGAGACAATTGGAATGTAAGCTTGCCCAGTGTACTCCACGCACTCGAGTGAAAAGCTTACCTTCGAAGGGATACCTTTCCAACCGAAATCGGACTTTCAAGCATTGGTATGACAATGATATTGGCAACAATATCATGCTGGCAGGCGATTCTCACAAGAACTGGGTAAGTCAATATACCACTGGCCTTCTTTCGCCTGCGATCTAACCCTTTTTAGGTCAGCGACCTCGTTTGGCTTGATGAGCATCCATATGACCCGGCCACCGGCGAAGGGTCAGTTGGCGTCGAGTTCGCAGGAACGGCGGTGTCCAGCACCGGGTATGGCGGCACCCTCGCTACTGCTGACGAAACGGCCGAAAGTTGGGTGACGCAGAACGCCGAGATGCATTGGATTGAGGGATACTATCGCGGATACTTTGAGCTCCATGTCTCGCCCAAAGAGGCGGTGGCGAGGTACTATGGATGCCCAACGGTTGCTACTCGAAATGCGTGGGAGATTCCGCTGGCCAACTTCACCGTCAAAGCGGGCGCTAACCGCTTGAGCCGTCCCCTGGCTGGCGGTAACGTTGAAGCGGGTTATTTGTCGGATGGGACGATTACCCACACCAATTTGACCCTCAACACCGAGACTGGCGAGTGGAAGGAGATCGGGTTTGAGCAGATGTTCATTCAATACTAAGATACAGTTCTCCACATCAATGACTAGTCCGGGTCATTTATAGCAAGGGTCGACTCTCACCCTCTCTAACCAAATTCAAGCATATTCCGAGTATTCCGCTGTCCAAATATTCTTTCAGGACAGGTGTCCATTGTGCGTGTATTTAAAGATAATCCGGAGATGCCCCCCTCGTCGCTTCACTGAGATGATCACTCTCCTACTGTCCGAGAAATGGTATTCCATACGATCCGTGTTGAGGTTTTCCTAAACCACTTCCGCAACTCCTCCAGGAATAGAGGCAGAGTTGGGGCGAGGTCTTTTATGGGCCTCGCCTGTCCTGTCATTCTCTCGCTGGGGATTGGCGGCCCAAAATTTGGGAACCTATTTGGCAGGCTTCTGAAAAATAGGAATCGGTTTCCTCGTCTAAATTTCTAACATTAACTTAGTTGCCTTGAAATACATGCTTTTAGATGTCCTCGGAAGTTACCTGTGTCATTGAAGCAAAACTGAACGTATCACCATTTGGACTGCTGAGGTATGACAATCGAGGTCGAGGAAAGTAAGAAAGAGCGGCATCAGCCAGGTGTTGCCTGCAGCGAGATTTTCGCGGACGGTGCCGCCCGCAACCACTACGACCCGCTTGTTCCCTCGTACCAAACGGGTTCGAGCAACTGTAGACTGATACAGTATCAACAAGCAAAATATCGACTGGGTAGGCCGAAGCCTTTTGGCAGTCGCAGAGTTCATTTGCCAGAACAGCGCAGCTGGATATGAGGTGAGTCACTGAACTCTGCCTGGATCCCAATTAGGCACGTTACAAGGGCCAGGCAATAGCAAACATGTTGAAGGAGCATTTGAGCCAATGAACCACTCATGCATTGGTTCTCGGCCCGACGAGCCCGAGCATCGAAGGCAGGGTATTACTCTGTAATGGAGCGGACCGGTCAGGGAATTAGGCAACCGTACGCTAAGCAATCGGAAGAGAAGCGCCAACCAACCCGTTTAATGGATACGAGATATAATTCTGTGCTGCATGCAATGTGCCCCTCTCTGGTGCATGCAGAGAGACAGCGTTGATGATGTCTCCAAAGGCGGAAGGTAAGGGTATTCATGAGGCGATCGGAGTGGTCGAAAACGACAGTTACTGTCCCGAGTTGAGGATAAAAGCTGTCGACTCCTCACTTTCATCAGGCTCCCTCCTCGTCCACAAAGCTAAACCGTTTCTCGAATCTGTCTATTGCAACTTGCTGTCTGTCACATCTACCTCTGCGATCACCCTCCGCAAGCTCTTTGCACGAGCCGAACAAGGCTAAAATCATCACCATGTATGTCTTCTCCAATAATTGATAGGTTCTTCCTCACCGTTGATTTACTGCATCCGCTGTCGCAATGATATCTTGCTGATTAACCTCCAGAATGGCCTCTGCTCAAATTGAAGAACCAAAGAATGCCTGCGAGTTCCGAACAGGCACCCAAACCGACGGATCCAGGTACACCTACAAGCAATCCGACTGTGGACGAACCGATCGTAAATACTCCTCCACTACGTGCCCCCTCAATCAAATTAGGTGAGACTCAGGCAAGGCATGCGTTGACACGGTCATTCGTAACCGTGGACAGTTGATTGTGTTTCAGAGCTAGTTGGACCTTCATGCCGGAAGAGCAGGAATGTGTTTGAGGAAAGGGATGGCGACCGGTAGAGATATGTGGAGGAAATGGTGAATATCGTCTCACCTTGTTTTCTCCTTCTTTTCGCAAGATCCGCAGAGCTTGGACAGTCATTCAGTTAGGAAGCGTAGTAATTAAATGCTGTGTTCCTTTATCATCTTTCCTCTGATGGTTGCCTGAAGTCTTTTGCCTGTGTGAATCAAGGGCAACGCAGATATTCCAATCTTAACAGGATGGAATGGCTTATATGCTTGCATTGGGTGGAGAGGCATTCGATGCGTACGAATGGAGGAAACCCTTGATCATGGAAAATCCATGCCAATCATTACTATACACCGCAGTTTCAAAGTCTTCGGTCCATCCCTTTGTTCCCCCTTTTAAGCCAAGCACTTCCCCTTCTCTTGCTGATGAATCAAAGTCTGTGAGGACAAACGTATCTCCGTTAGACAATATGTTGTGTGGATTAATGTCCCCATGAACGATACCAAGTCCGTGGAGATGTTCGATACCCATTTTAATACTCCTCAAACATGCCACTGTGTCAATTGGTTGGGCATCTTTAACCCTTTGGAAGAGCGTGTCGCCATATCTTTCAAAGCAGAGCCCTGTTATCACGCCATCTTCAACTTCGCAACCTAGGTATCTTGCAATGTTTGGATGCGGGGACTTCGCCAGAATCTCGCATATTTGAGCCTCACGTAGCACCAGAGTACTTATATCCGTCGATGCCTTGGTGTCTCCATAATAGAGCAAGCTAGGTCGTTTCACATATGAATTTGGAGGTAGGCGGTTCGCCGCTCGTGTGTAGCTTGCTGGAAATACTGGCCGGATCCGCGAGATTGGAATCGGATGAAGATTAAGAGTGGATGGATCTATCTTGGAGGACGGAGGATAGCGGCGATCGGTGATAGCATAGAAATACCGAGAGCCGTCGCGGAGGATGACCTTGGTGTGGGAAAATGTAAGGACATCGTCCACCTGCTCCCATGCTTCGCTATGCTCCAAGATTTCAAGCACCTAACTGGGATCAGCATAAATCGAGAAGGATATTCAGTAGCATACCATATTGACGTAGTGGACGCCTTTTGATATGGTGACTGTGGAGATGATGTGGTTCCTGGAAGAGAAAGGAAGGATGGGCTCTGCGTAGAATGCATTCGGTGGGTGTCTTGCACATGATGGAGGCCTGAACGCCAAGCAAGCGGACCCGTGACTCTCCCATTGTTTTTCGTTTCCAACAGCAGCTGCCCGCTGGAACGCGTATTCCAACGCACCCTAGTCCGACGTGCTCGTGCAAACTTTTGCCTTTCTCTCACGCACCCAGCCTGTTCCCACGAACGACCTGTTCCCACCCACGACGCTCCCCCACCCACAATCATCCGGAGATCCCAAGGGAGTTTTGCAACTTCATTGCTAATGACTGGGAACATGTGAATTAGGCGCTACATACAGAGCATAGAGCACTGTTTTGAGGTAAGGTAAAACTTCCTAAGCGACCATATCGCCTCATGAAGTCCGGTGCGCTGGTTAACTTCGGTATATCATTAACGTAGCGAGGAAGGCGGGATTACAGTATATCAATTTTTGCATTGGTAGGATAACGTGACGAAATGGATGACGGTATCTAGCAACTCACTTGGTACTGAGAGATTCTCCCCCGCCTAGAATGAGACCCAATGATATATAGGTTTTCCCCACCTCGTGCACGGCCCCACACAGTGCACGAAATGATATCGCGACATTCAATATGTAATTAGTTATATCTTTACCAAAATGAATCAGATTGAGCTCGCTCTTGCTGCGTTGGAGTTGGAGGAGAAACCTAATTATACTAAGACTGCAAAAGAGTATGGAATCGACCGTACAACATTATCTAGGAGACATCGCCAAAAAACCACCTCTAGGCAAGATGCGGACTTGAACAGAGGAAAACTCCATGGATTCCAGGAGAAGAAACTTGTTTCGTATATCAACGACCTCTGTAGGCGTGGTTTTCCGCCTACTACTACAATGGTACGGAACTTTGCCTGCGATATTGCGAAACAAGACATAGGCAAGAACTGGGTCTCTAGATTCGTGGAGCGGCATGAGACGATGCTCGACGGGAGATATCTCAACGTTATCGAGTCCTCCAGGACCCGGGCGGATAAGGAGCAAGACTATCGTGATTTCTACGCCTTATTAGCCCAAAAGATTACGGAATACGACATTGATCGGGAGAATATGTACAATATGGATGAAAAGGGCTTCCTTATGGGGATCATGACCAAGATGAGACGGATCGTCTCAAAGGCGGTTTTATCGCAAAATAAGAGCCTAGGGGCCACGACGGATGGTAATCGTGAGTGGATTACCATTCTTGCATGTATCTGTGCGGATGGTTCCTGGTTACCGCCCGGTCTAATTTACCAGGCGGTTTCCGGTAATCTCCAGGACTCTTGGCTCCAGGATTTTGACACGGAGAACCACCAGGCCTTTTTTGCTTCATCTCCATCAGGATGGACGAACGATGATCTAGGATTCCATTGGTTGACTACCGTTTTTGAGCGGTATACGAAGCCGAAGGCGAGACGGAGATATCGTCTCTTGGTTATCGACGGGCACGGTAGCCATATCAATATGAGATTCCTGGATTGGTGCCACGAAAACCGTATTTTGGTATGCTGGTACCCTCCACATACCACTCATCGCCTACAACCGCTCGACGTTAGCCTGTTTTCACCTCTTGCGACCTATTATGGGCAGGAACTCAATACCTTCATATCTGAGTGCCAGGGACTCTGTTCTATCACGAAACGAGAGTTTTTTCGCTTATTTTGGGCGGCATGGCATAAAGCTTTCACTCCTGCCAATATTCGAAGTGGTTGGGAAAAAACAGGACTGGATCCACTAGATCAGTCCGTGGTCCTACAGGCTATCGGGATTAGCGAAACAACCTCTCGACCGGGCTCAAATGCATCATCGGCAGATTCTCACCTCTCGTCAACGGACTGGAGACAGGTGAAACGGATTATCCATGGTGCTGTAGGTGATGCGGTTACTTCGGAGTCGAAAAAGCTTCTCAGCTCGGTCGCACAGCTTTCAACCGATATTACCCTCTTACGAGCGGAAAACCAGGGTCTACGAAAGGCTATCATCAACGAGAAAAAGAAACGTAAGAGGGCGAAGCCGTTATTTGAAGAGTTACGTGCTGAAACTGGTATAAAGGCACAGTTTTTCAGTCCCTCTAAGATCCAGAGAGCTCGCGAACTTCAAACACAGAGAGAACAGGAAAAGGTCGATCAAGAGGCACAAAGACAACAGGATAAGGTAGAGAGAGCACAACGCAAGATAGAGAAGGAAAAAAAGATGATAGAAAACCGTCTCCAACGAGATGAGGCACGTACAAGGAGGGCTACGGAGAAGACCCTTTTGGCGAAAGAGAGGCAGGTTAGTAAGGAGGCTCGATTAGCCACCCTCCAGATCCGCAGGGAGTCTAGATCCTTTAGAACCACCAAGAGAAAGTCTATACAGGTGGTTTCAAGGCGAAGTCTACAGCCTCACGTTATCCCCAGTGGTCAAGAAGATACAGAGGGGGGTCCTTCGTCTGGGCGCCCACGGCGTGAGAAACGCCTCCCAAAACGCCTACAGGACTACGAATTAGGTGGGAAATAAGGCTCTATCTACACAGACCTCACCACCAGCTTTTTCTACATAATTTACTTTTTTATGGGTGCGAGTAGCCTCAAAAACATATCCAAAATATCTAGTGAAATCGTGCATTGAGTGGGACCGTGCACGACCCCGGGAAAACCCGTATTCGAGTAAGCCCCACTAGCAATTCTGCTTCTCTTGCAATTCCCGGCGCAATAACGGAGTAGAACCCAAGAGCAGAGTCGTGAAATCATCCAAATCCCACTCTCAGCGCCGACGCTGTGGTGTAGATGGGTATACGGGACAATTAAAACTCATGTGTCCAAAGTCTTCGCCTAAATGTTTCAGAAAGCACAGTGTTAGAGCTTATTGTCCTATAGTGATAATTCCACAGTAGAAAAGCAGCATCACACAGCTGCCTTCCGTTCTTGGGGTACTTACATCGGTAACATTGTGTCTTTGGACAGCTGGGGGAAGAGTGCCCGGTTTGCTTGCACCTAGTGCAGGTGGATGTCAAGCGGGACTGGAAAGAACTGGCAGCTTGCGGCGAACGAATGGGTGACGCGACACCGAAGCGAAGTGTATCAAGGAGGGACGGCGACGCAGCGGTCCGCGAAAGACCAGGAGCGGTTGTCCTAGTAAGACATCGTGGAGGCGTGAGCGGCGGTGATTGTGGATAGGCCGATGACGGGGCCAGCGCCTTTCTTGTTTGCGAAAATCCAAGGCGAGCCGTGTATTCAGTCTGTTTGAGGGCTGCCCCCGATCGTCAACAAGTTGAATCGGCTTGAGATCGCGAGGTCTTCCTCGGAGGCCCGCCTCCGTGTGCTGCCGGCATGCTGTGCCATCCCCCATTCAAGGTGGCCAGCAGCAAGTCTGAACGCCCGAGCGAGCTCGTTTCTGTCAATATCGTAGACCATTCGGCCCTGGCAAGTATAAGCGCCGTTAAGGATGCGCACCAAACTCAGGAAACTGAGTCGCAAGTTATACTGGAATCCAGATTGGTGCTTGAATGGTCCAAGACGGAGAAGGCTTTTGTTCAAACCAGCAGAGGTGAATAGACCTTTCCCTCCTCTCTCGACTTGAAAGGGTGCTCTAGCTGCGCGGAGAGAGCGTAGGAACTCATTGCATCTCTTCTCCACGTTCCGTCTGAGATCTCGTATATCGCGCTCCTCTCGTTGGCGGAGCTGCTCAAACCCTTTGTCCTGTAGACGGTCGCCTCCGCGATCCAGAAACTTGATAATTTTGACGAGGATCAGCAGACAGTTGGGGAAGAGGACGTTATATCGCTCCTTCAATATGAGGTCGTAGAGATCGTCGTTCGTCATGTCATCGTATGCACCAGATTTTAGGGAGTCCAACATCCTCGTTACATAGTCCATATATATCTGAAATCGCTCGCGTTGAAAGTCGTGCTTAGTCCACCTTGGCTGGTCCTGCTTATCTTAGGGACAAGAGCAATGTTAGCAGTCAATCTCCACAGATTATGACAAGAAAATAAAGAATCGGAAACAGTCTCCTAACCTTCTATGTCTTTCCGGACTATTGCAGTACAGTTTTCGCGCACATCAGTCATCCAAGGACTCCTTTTCCAGGTGCCATTGGCTCGACGGAATGCTTGCATTGCCTCAATAATGAAGAGGCTCCGCAATGCGCTTTTGTCTTCGAGATAGTTAAGCGCATAGCTCGGATGGAAGCCGTTCACACAGGTGTAACGTTGGCCTTGGACCGTGACTCGATAATCGCGGGTGCGTCCTATTCCGATGCACTGGAAGCCTTTATACTTGGTAGAATGCGGGCTGCGATAACAGCAGAACACCACATCTGGCTGCTTCTGTTGGATCATCTCAAGGAATATGGCATATGCTTCATTGAGTTCTTCCTAATATTCGTCCAGGCTTTTGCTCACAGGGATCTTGTGGAAGGGGAACGCGTCGAAGCAGCTTATCTTCTCCAGGCCACACCCAGTAACTGTCTTGCAGACTTCGTCCACGGCGTCCAAAGTATCGCAGTCCTTCACGGTTTGGTGGTGATCGGAGAAATAACGTTGATGCTCTGCAGGCTGCTGAAGGACAATCACGACACCGCCTTTCGTCTCCGGCATGGCTAGCCACTTTGCAAATTTGGCCTCCTTGTCGGAAATATCTTCTCCATTATTTTGAAGACAGCGGCCATAACTCTCAATTGCTCGAGCATGGCCTCCAGGACTAACGAAGGGATCTGGGGTTGCAAGTCTAGTACCGAGAAGGGGTTCAAGCCGATGATCAATTGGAACCCCCAGACACGAACCCGGCAATCGAACATCCGCCATAATCCCTATGTAGATACCCGTGAACTACTGGAAATAGGGTTCAGACGAATCCTCTCTTTCCTTAGCGCCGGCATGGTGCCGTATATGTAGCCGATGGGATCTTAGACGAGGCTGGCAGCGTAGATGGCGGCGGCGCAGCAAAATGCAGGCTGCCTTCTCTGTTCATCCACGTCTCAGTCAAGACTAGGATTCGCTCACGGCGTCAAGCAGGCCAACAGATTTAGGAGAGAAAAGCCCGCATGAGGACGCGTTCGGAATGATTGGCTGTGATTGACGATAATGGATTCCTATACCAATCAGCGCAGGCGATACGCCAACTTAGTTGATAGATGATTGCCCAGTGACTCCCTCGAAAAGTGCAGAACACCCAGCCTCCACATGGTAAGGGTTAGCAGCGGGTGATTGGGTTGACCTATTGCAAGGTACCTTGAACTGAATCTATGTTTACAAAAGGACAAAAGGCGCAGCCGGTTTTGCAAACTACTGAGTCGATTGAGTATACCGTGGACAGGTACTGTACGACAGCTCACACTACAGGGACGGGAGCGAGGTGGGGATTTTGACAGTCTGGGACTATACAAAAGGAAGGTTAAGAATAATCAGCGCGACAGTTGGGTGAAGTTAATCTGCACAACCCATGGCCGGCCCAGCCCGTAATGGCAGCCCGTAATGGTTCGGTCCGCAGGCACTACGGTAGAGCACCCTAGAGTAACCCCCGCAATCCGAATTGACAGTTTGGAGTATTTCTATCGATAAGTCCAACAACCCTGAGCTGTCGAAGGCCATCAACTCTGTTTCGATGGTACCGCGATGCGACGCGCTGCTACCTCTATCCGTCGGATGTATCAGAGCCAGCCCCTAATACAAACAACTCGCATTCGCCACCTTAGGAGACGGACTTTCGGCGAAGTCGATGGTTTAGGAGAGGCTGGACGCTTCAAGAGCTGATCGCTCCTATGGTAGTCGAGTATTTCTCTAAAGACCGAGTGTGGCTAGGAAACAAGAGATCGCTCGAACGGCAGATTCGCGAAATCACCGGAATTCCTGCCGCGTCGAGGAGGAGCATTCTCTCAACTTAGCGTAAAAGAACAACTGTTATGGGCTCAAGGTCGCGAGACAACGGAAGGCGGAAGACCAAGCATACTCATTGCTGGGGATTTTCGGGGTGAAGCATGGCAATGATTTACGGGGAAGGAATAGACGAAGCGTTCCGACTCATATCAGCTTACTAAGAGTGCGATCTTGGCGGGAAACTTCCCGCCAAGATCGCATTTGCACGTGATCGGCCCGATTCCTCTTACTAATTATGTGTTTCGAGGTTTACGTCACAGAGTCGTTCATCTTATCTCCAGATCGCTCTTCAGTAACCTTCCCCCACTGCGAGATGGAACGCCGGCCGGGCTGGAACGAATTCAAGGATCTTTGACTTCGAACCAGCTCAGAAGCTCTACGCACATTATAGCTCTTATAAATCTACGCAAATTGCACTCTTTAGTCGTTCTCGACATGCGAAACTATGGGATGACCGGCTCCAAGTTTCGTCTTTCGAGTTAGGTCGACGCCAGGTTGGCCACGCTGGTCAGCGTGTCAGGATGTTCCTGTAACGGACGGTCCAGAATCTGCTTTGTTCCGCCGTGACTGAGATTTGACCCTCTTCGAATAGGAAAAGTCGCTTGAGTGTCTCACTGATGAGACACTTTCAGTCGAAGTAGTGCTAATGCGACGGTTGTGCATGTTGGGGGTCAGTTGGTCACTCCGTCGACCGAAATCAGCTTTCGGAGAGTCTGGAGCTCTCTGACTGCATTCCAATCTCGCTGCAATGACAGCTTTTTGGGTAAGAAATAGTGCCCGTCCCGGGAAACAGATCTCTGGTCCGACCAAGATCTGCGGAAACAACACTGCTATTGGGCCATCCATTACTGATTTCCAGGGTTCTGGCCGATCATTGAGCGCTACTTTATCATACTCGGGTCGACCGTGGTCCTCGAAGTTCCAGCCAACTGTATCAAGATCGGCTTGAAAAGTGGCCGGTTTAGGACCTTTCTGGAGCTGCTTCCATATCTCAATGGCATTTCCGAAGAAGGTTGTCAATTCCCTAGAGAAATATTCCTTATTCTGACTTGTTAGCCATGCGTCAAGTCTTTCAAGCACAAATTGCATTGCACAGCCCGATATGGAGTCGGTCTCTTGCTGTACATCAAAGACGCTAGCGATTTGGTATCGCACGATGTCCGCTCGGTCAGGTTGTATCGTGCTTAGCCAATCAAGCGCCTTTACTAGCGCGGCCAGTTCGGTGTCGGTGCTCTTCGAAAGGTAGAAGGGCTTGAAGATATACTTGCAAAGAGCTTGGGAGATAATGGCCTCAGCAATGGCACTGCGCATACATAGCGCTGGTTCTGTATTCGACGGTACTTGCAATATCCTCCGCGAGGAGGCTGCAGCCTCAATGTTGACCACCTAACTGATTTTAGCGTCGCGAAGTCCTGAATGTTTCTGTTGACTCACGCAAGGGTCTGGAATTTTCTGGTGAAAGCAGTGCCACGCCAATTTATGTACGGTACCGTCTAGCTCAGAGAAGGTGCTTTCTCTTCGAGGCAGTGGTATGTTAGCTACAATGCTGAGGCATAGCGGGCGGGTATCTTTGAAACATACATCTGACTCTGTTCGAAATTCAGGATGCCGATTTGACTCTGCAGTTCCTCCACTTCTCTTTTACAGTTGTCGAAGTTGGCTGTAATCCTCTCCACCGTCAACCTCTCTATTTCTAGGTCGTGTTTGAGCCCGACGATGTCATCTTGATCTTTATCATACCGCTTCTTGTATTTTGATATCTCAGCTCGGAGCTGTCGAAGCTGCTGGCTGGTGCTCTCGCATTTTCTCCGTTCCAGCCCAAGCTCTTCCTGCAGCAGAGAAGCTACCTCATCTTCTCTTCGCTTCGATTCGCCTTTCCATTTTTCATACCCAGCTATGAACTCTTCTTTGAGCAGTCCCTTTTCCGTTCTTAGCTTGACCACTTCTTTTTGCAGGGCTTCGATGGCTTTCTCTTTACTTCCAATGATCTGGTGCTTCTCTGCCGTCTCTTGCTCTAACGCCGACAATTTGGTACAAATATTTTCATAATCCAAAATTCCGTCAGAGAATTTTAACAATTCCTCAACCTCACGGCGAATTGTCGAAAGACGCGTTAAGACCGGCTTGCTTAATGCTCTCTTTGCAGATCCTGTCGAAGATGATTGCTTGCTCTTATCTGCCATTTCCAAACAAGGGTGATTGGATCAGTAGCAGGAAATTCCATAGTACTGGGAAAGGAAGGTCTTAAATAGCCGCACTTCCGGTCACTCAATGCGTAGAGACTGGTAGTTGGAGGACCAGCCCACCCTGTAGCTTTCTGAGTATGCAACCCCGCCTGCTCCTCGGGGAACCAACCAATAATATATCGGTCCTTGCGTCAATTGGTGCATACTGCGTGTTTACGTGGCACTAGTTGCGGCTGGTGCCGCAATCGCGGTATTATTTGGGTGACATGATTTGGCATCGTGATGAGTCCGATTGATGGTTTGCAGGAGAGCAGGCTGTTCTTGGTGTACTACCAAGGCTGCAAAGGTGCTGTGTTGTTGTGGCTAGGTTTGTCATTCCATCGCTTTCCATCATCCGCAACACCACCTCTTCCCCAATGGTCGTCGAGGGCAAATGGGCATAAGCACGTCAGTAAATCCTCAAAACACTACTTCATTGGCCCTCTGTTACTTCGTTGAATTTTCTCATCCCTTTGATATTGTTACATGGAAGGAAGGACGAATGATGCCCTACCAGACTCCCGTAATTTCTCTTCCCCTGCCTCTGGTGCCGCGCACATAGACGAGCTTAAGCTGACACTTCAGAGAGATGGACCTTCCCGACCTTCCTTACGAGTTACTCCTTTCCATAAGCGGCTTACTAGAGCGGTTTTGCTATATCAACGCCCTGGCCCAAACCAACCAGCGACAGTATTAGGAAAGGCAGACACATGAATTCATGAAATCCACCATCTATCAGACGATCGTTACTTAGGGGTGAGCACCTATCGGCTTCCCTTGAACAATCTCCCTTCCTACCCCGGCCAAGCTTGACGTTCACGCCGAAGGAGACATATTTGACTCCGGTCTCCGCTGGAAGGAACCGATGATCGTGGAACGGTCGCGCGATGGTCGTGGGAGACGGCTGTGAGTCTGGGTCCCCCACGACTGCCTTGGACGGTTACATGTGATAATAGGATTCTCTACATCTGTACTGATGGTACTGGCAGCTACTAAATCTTCTGTCTTCTGGAGTGGCCCAAAGCACTACTGCGTTCCTATTTCCATTGTCGTGATACCGAAAGACGTGCTCATGGACCAGAATACTCAGTAAGACGATTGCGAAGAATGAACGAAGGGGCACAACCGACACCAACGGATGATCCTGGATAGAGACACTGGTCGAGGGTGTGGAAGGCTCTCGTAGTGTTTGCACCTATCTGATCTATATTATGTAAATATGGTCCGCCAAGATCACTATGCCATCTTCCTACTCATTCACTCATTGGCCTTGCTTTGGTCGTTAGTAAGATCCACTGGATGAATGCAACTTCAAGGCCAGTAATACTGCCCGGATGCCATCGATCACTCCCATATTACTGGGCTTGGCTGCTTCTGCACATCGCTTGAGAAGCCTGCCTTTATAAATTTTCGATGCTGGAGGCGGAGACGTAGAGGTTGTGTCTACGGATGACCTTGGCCTACTTGAGACAAATGATTCTCATTGAAATTCCCGATATGGTTTCCGCCCCCTTCTTGGCGTTAAATATATCTCCTGCGTGTGGCTAAAACGACTTTTCTACTTAAAAGAAAGCTTGATAGTGTCGGCTGGAATAAAGATTTGCTGCAGGCCATGTCGATACTCAGTCATTTCCCTCTCTTTGTTTTGTGTGTATGCAGCAATCGTGCTCAATGTGTCCTCTCCCGGCAAATGTGTCGTGACGGAACAACCTCCCACAATGCATTCGGATACTGCATTTAACATCCCACAAATCTGTAGCCCTCTTGGATAGGTATGTGTGATGTACGTTAGCAGAGCCTCCATCATCCGATCAGTAAAACTAGTATCGTTCCTATCTAGGCGTTTAGTGCAAGAATTGAAAATAAGTCGAGGGAAGCACTTACATGGTAGTTGTTAAGCTCGCGCTACATATCAACAAGAGGCCTATTCCAAAATGATGGACCAGGATGGACCATTTCCTACCTATCTGTTTATGCTTTTGAAGAGAGTTTCGACGTTTTCTCCTGGTCTTTGGATCATTCTGTATCTCCTGAGGATACATATCCTCCAGGATTTTATCGATCGCAACACTGGTAACATCCCGGCCAGGGGAACACAGGCTTAGCATATACGGATCGCTACGGCAGTCTTCATAAAATTGCTCCGAGTACTGGTAGAGAAGAAGCCTCGCCATTCGAAGTCGAACATGGTCGAAAACAGAGCGTTGTTTAACGGTTTCGACGCTACGAAAAGCCCGGTAGAGCTTCTTACTCACTGGGCCAGTAGACGTAGGATCAGGAGCTATATCCTGGCACCAAAACTGTGTCCAAACATTGCTGCGATGGAACGAAAGAAAGCTTGCAGGATCCTCATGGATAAAGAAGTCAGCAGTTTTGATGACTCTTATTATTTTGTCGATGGTAAGAGATTTGTCACCATGGTCTCCGTAAAATTAAGGTTAGGGCGTTAAGAGCTCTAAGATACGGCGTGCCTGCACATGATGGTGTTGGTATGTTGCTGCACAATGGAGATCCACTGCTAAGCTGAGCTCGGCGAGGCAACATTCATCTCAGACTGATCAGCATTCTCTATCTCTTTCGGTTGCCCAGGGGCGGAGGGTAGTCCTGGGGATGGTGAAGGTGAAGAATTTGGAGCTGACAAAGTGACCAGATCCTGGCCTGAGTCCTGAGTGTTGCTCATAACTTGGTCCTGAAGATCCCATTACCAGTTATCAGCATTTACGGACAATAGAGAAGGATCTTCTAGTCTAGTAGAGATAATGGTGACGATACAATTGCTATTACAAGGCATCGAGTTAAAGAAATATAAGTTAGCATGTAAAGGCTCGAGAAACAATCGTGGCATATTCTAGACACAGGCATCGGCTAAATTTAGCAATGTTCAAAATCAAGCTCATGCTAGACCCTCGAAACAAATCACCCCTGTCTTCAGGGCCCTGAAGACAGGGGTAATGCAAGGCTCTAAAAGCGCATGGAAACAACACGTCGTCTTTGCCTGGAGCCCCTTTGGGCCACTGTACTGATGACGTCATGTATCTAACATTACAAGTACGATTCCTATCGTTTCATGCACTTCGGTGCTTAACCTCCCTCCCTGTGTGCCGGGCACCCCTGCTTGCCGAGCAAAACCATTGGTACTTTGACTTCAATGCAAGCCAGACACTGCACAGATATCAATACTTCTATAGTTCAGTTTAAATATTGCGCTGTAGCTATCTATTAACATTCGAGACCTTCCTATCGCGAAAACTTACGTTGGCGTGGTCGCATTCGAGCCTGGTTTCCGGAGAGTCTCCCATCTTAGCACTCGAGAATATCTTCACCACAGCACCACCATCGCACTTTTATTAATCCTAAAGCATGTAAGAAGCTCATATTCAAGCCTTAGAGTCCGAAAACAAAGTTAGAACTATTATTAATAAACGTGGCTGGTGTATCGCGCAAAATTACGAAAGTTCGCCACGCAAATCGGTACTTCCGATCACAACGATGGCCAGTCCTGGCTACTGCGATACGATTATGCACGTGCTATACATATCATGATGTATTATTACTGAAGTAATCTGCTGTATTGTGTCGCACGTGATGTGCTAAAATGGTTGGGAGTGAGGTGCTATTGTTCCAGCAGCGAAGTTGTTGTATTGTTGTGTGTTCTTTTTATCTGAAAGTTGCGTTCAAGTTGCGTGTTCTTATGTCAATGCCTGGTCCCCTGGCCCTCCAGATATATGAGATTCGTGGCAAGTTTATTAATGCAGTTTGTAGCCTCGAGCTCCCTTAGATGAAACCTTGGTCTGCGACATATTGTTATTGCCATGGTCGTGGCTGATTTCGCCTGTGGCTGCTGCAGTCTAACCACTCCTGGCACATCCAGAACTCCCTGCGTGCAGAAACGGGAACGCCGTCGCTAGCCGTTCTTCCTCAGAATCCCTCTAAGCCGCCTCACGAGAAGCGTTCTTTTCGAAATGCTACCCAACTTCAGTTTCTGATCTGTCGCTGACTGATCTGACATCCCAATAAATAGTAAACCCTCCGGTACTTGGTTAAATTGACGTCAGTCATCATCCTCGGCTGCGGGATCCTTAATAGGATATGTCGACGCCTGCCCTGTTTCAGGCCGTTTCGGCAGGTCCTCATAGAAGTCAGCAAGCATGTTCTCCGATACTCGCCGCGAAGGGTGATCTTTCGCCATAACTCTCCGCTTTAAAATAACAACACGCTCTAGCAGCTGCACCGCTTTGACCTGTCCGTTTGCGTGATATGCTCTGGCGAGCTCGTGCTGCGACGCCAGTCGTGAGGGATGGTCTTCTGCGAGCACTTCCGCTTGCATCGCGACAACACGCTCCAGCAGCTCGACCGCCTCCTCGACCTGTCCGTTTGCTTGATATGCTCCGGCGAGCACCTCCCCACCTTCAGACAGAGCTTGCTCTGCTCCGCTTTATCTTGGCATATCCCGTTCTCGTTTATGCGTGCCACATGGGGCAGATATTGTCTCCAGATCTCACGATTCGCGTAGTCGTCAGACGGAAAGACTTTCAAGAGGTGTTGCAGTGCCGCCCTGCTCGTGTCGGCTTCACGGCCTTTCCGACAATTCCATATTTTCGCCGACATGGAAAAGCCTGTGCATGTCAAGCATCTTGCCGTCGTCCCTTCTCTCGAGAAACGAGTAAGAACAGGGCGTACCGAGAGCCCTGTCTATCGATACTTGCGAATCAGCAGCAGGTAGGATGGTACGTGGAATTGCCTTCCATTCAATGCACGAGATGAAGGTAAGAGGGTCTGCCGCCACTGTGTCGTGCTTGAGAATCTAGTTAAAACTGACTGTCCATGTCTTTGCCACCGCGTTCTTCGACGTTTTGTATCGTGAGTTGTCTGCAAATTCAATACTCATGATCTCGATGGCGTCCTGCCCCCAGCTCTTGAGCAGCTCATGATACTCTGCGATAGAGCTTCTGTTGGTGTTGATGTATGCGGCCACTTGAGTGATGGCCAAAGGGAGATACTCTAGCTCAATGAGCAGGTTTGTCATAAGCGTATTGTCGTTGGGCAAGCGTTTCGGATGTAACGGCTTCTTGAGCAAGTTCATCGTCTCTTGTATCTCCATCTTTTCGACTTCGATCATATCGCTACCTGCAACGAACTGCGCAACTTCATTGTACCGGGTTGTGAACAAAGTGGGGCCGCTGTTGCTCTCGGGCAAAAACTCCAACAAGCCTTCCCCTTCCTCGAGACTGCGGAGGAGGTCCATGTCGTCGGCATTGTCAACAGTCTGGGTTGATGTCAGCACGAACGGCGTTCCCAGAGCTAGGGTCGTTGAATGGCGCTTGATTGTCCGCCGGTTCCAATTTGTACGTTCTTGGCATTAGCAACTCTGGTGCTAGCAGTGGTCCGGAGGAAGGTCGCTGTTCTGGAGTACCGAAGATGTTGGCGGCGACCACATAAGAGTTGACGTCCAGCTTTGGGATATTAGTCATTAACCCTTGAGCGAGGTATCTGTAGCCAGTGGAATCAGTGCAGGTTGAGAGAAGCTCCTAGCTGTGGATGAGAAAGTGTCCTAAAGCTTGGCCTATCGGGGGTAGAACAACTCACAAGGACGGCTTCATGCAGAACACTCCGCTCGCCGAGTACGAGACCTTTTGCAAGTTTCTCAAGTTTAGCACAGCCTGCCAAGAGACGGCTTGTAATATGATAGCCTCTGTCTCGTTGTAGGTTCTCTAGGAATCGGACAAAGGAGGCCATATGTTTGACGCTCGTCAACGCGTAGTCATCTTCTGGATTCCTAATCACGGCTGAAAGCAGCGCGAGAGTCGCTGAAAACATGCTCTGTAGTGGTTCCCTTGGTAAGTTAACCACGGTGAACTACTGAAGAGGTCCTTTGCCTACCAAATCTCTACGAGCGGTAGAGTTTCCAGGCAGGGGGTCATGGCAAGAGTTGCTCGGGCAGCTCTAGCGCAATTGTCGGTGAAGAAGCCTAGACGATCCATAGCCGGCGATGGTAGGTGTTGCGCTATATTACTAATTCGTATCTCTTCTGAATTATAGAGTTCTGCAGCGGCGCGGATCATGCCTACACAATCGTAGTACGCAAGATGCAGAGCGGTAACTGAACTGCTCAGGCTTGCCGGGTTTGGATGGAGATGGTATTCTGGTCGGACAGCCGGTGGCACAGCGTCCCGCCAAGCTGTTAGCTCATCCCGAAGCTGCGAGATTTCGTTAATCGTCGACATCCCTTGAACTCTATCGTACGTCCTGTTCAGCAAATGTCTGTGTACCCTCGACTCGATGATGGCCAGTTGGACCCTTAGCTTGAAGATCTTAATATTGTCCACCGCATGTGTAGAGTTGAGATCCCGAACTCCCCTAAGGAGATTCTCATCCGGTAGATGAACTTGAATGTTGTCCAGTTCGAGGGCAGGATGCTGTTTTGCTTTTATGCTTGAAGTCGTATCAAGTAGGAACGCTGTCCAAAATATACGACGCCGTTGCTCTGCCTCCGCGGGACTCAATTCTAGGTCAGGACTTTCCTTGTGAAACCCCAAGAGCTGTATCATCCTCATTGCCGAGGAGATGAGAAGTATCATAGTCCGTAAGTCCGCCGTTCTCTTCAAGAAGCATGCCATAACCAGTATCGCCTGGACAGCCAGAACATTAGGGCTTATTAGGATAATCTCAGCTTGGAGAAAATAGGCAGTTTTGAAAAAAGCCCACGAAAACTCCGATACTTTATGAAAGGATTTGTCCACTGCCCTGGATTGAGTTGTGATAGCAACGATGGCATTAGTACATGCCACCCACGCCGGGTTTTCGAGGGCCCTTTCGTCTGGCGTCTGGCGCTGACACAACATCCTAAGCGACTCAGGATGGAAGATAGGAATAGTCGCGTTTAGGTCCTCGAGGAAGAACTCAACCATGCTAATTAATTCGCCTTTAGGTAACGTAGGCGCAAATAGGTTCCTGCGCGGGAGCATCTCAGACATCTTCTTTCTAAGATCTTGAACCTCACTTTCGGTAAAATGCGCTCCTGGAAAGTCAGGTGGAGGCTTTAGTAGAGTCGGAACGCTGTTTGAATCGGACAGCATTAGTGGACATGCGTTTGAGGTCGTTACGATCGGAGCTGTATAGTCTGTGATGGCTGACGATTGCGCGTTCCCGTTTCTTCCCGTGGCGGGTGTCGAAATCTGAGAAGACATCCCAATAGAATGTTCCTCAAGCGGTGACGTCTCTGCTTGATGGGCAGCGGAAGACTTGAGTAACTCCTCCATAGCCTCCATTCGCTCCTCTAGTGCACGTATATACTCTCTCCTACATCAGGAATCAGCTTCCCTTGTGTTTGGTTGCAAAACATGGAGCTAACTGACGTCTTGCCTTTTCCTCTTTTTCTTGCTTGTCCATAAGAGCATGTTGAACTTTGAGCGTCACAGGGCGAGCAAGTTGGCGTAGCAGCATCGCATCGAATTTTCTTGGCCTGACACTGTTCACATGCCTGTGCCATGTTAGTAATAGGAACCGGGGTGTATCTTAAGTCGAGATCGAACCAGCAGAGTTTCACGTGGAGTTACAATACCTGTTTGACGCGACGTTTCTTCTGCCGAGACGCCTGGCCTCTTCCCAACTCCATGAGCGACGACAATACCGCGAGAGGCGGGCGGCTCAGTCTTCCCTTGGCATAAAAAAGAGTCAATCAGCAAGAATACAGTTGCGCTGCGTCTAGCAGAGGCAATAAGTATTGTACTTCAATACGCAGCAGAGAAAAGCGGTAGGTTTTATCGGTGGAGAGTTCCTTGCACACGGTTGACGTACTTTGCATTTGCCCGGAAGCAAACGGTCCGATATACCCTGTAGATGATGATACAACCTCCATCGATTGGCCCACTAGCCATCGGAACGCGATAGAAGGAGGCTGGTGAGATTTTCCCACCAGGTTTTGAGATTTTCCCACCATTTGAGATTTTCCCACCAGCTCTTGTTTAGTGGAAATTAATCGCTCAACTGAGCCTAGTGCGTATTTCCATATATCTTCTTCTGCAGACAACTTCAATGTTCAATCTGGTCTTTCTCTCACAATCTCCGCATGGAGGTGTTTCTTGCCAGAGATCAGGTTTTCGGGATATCTTTGTTTTTCGGCGTTTTCCGGTTTCCTACCCGTGACCCCCATTTCTTGCTCGTATTTAGGTCTCAGCATCGACACTATAATACAGTTACAACCTCTCCTGTTGAAGGAATGCATAGGGTTTTGAAGGACCACCTTATGTCTTCAAGAGGCGACTTGCTACGTGTTGTTGGAAGGATTGAGCAGATGGTCAAGAGTTAATACAACAAGTACAGGAAACAGATTGCTTCTTCTAAACACAGCATTAAATTTGAGCACAGACTGGAGTCAATGCCATTCCTACCTCCTGGCATTCATGACATCCTTACGCCAGCGGCAATTGAACGCATTAGACAACAGGATCTGCTGCGCCAGAAGGAGCAGAGACAACGTCGTAGGAGGCGTCCTTGTTCTGGCCTCTATGAGAAGATAAACGGTCTTCCATGTCATCATACGCTACGAGATGTGATAAATTCTGGATCGACGTTACGACCAAATCACCTTTACGACGATCATTGGCGCTATCAACGTGAGCAAGGACGGTCAATAAGCCTCTCTCCAAGGCCATATCAATCTATCCTAGAGCCGCTTCCGGCTCAAACAAGAGGTGCGCCGAGGAAGAACGAGGCATCAACTCGTCGAGATCTATCAGCTTTTGAACGACGTGTACCGCCTTCTCTACCACAACCTCAAGGTCAATCACTTACTGAGGTCTTACGGCACACAAACACCTCTGTCGCTGTGTCAATTCCTACATCTGCACTACCTACGAATGCTATAACTCGTCGAGATCCTTCGGGCTTTGAACGACGTGTGCCACCTTCTATCCCTCAATTTCAGCCTCCTCCTCAACCCCAGGGTCAAACACTTGCTGAGGTCTTGCGACACACAAACACAGCTGTTACCATATCAGTTCCTACATCTGCACCAGCTACGAATCCTATAACTACTCCTC